GGCAGCAGGGGTTTCGTAGTTTACTTTTCTCAGGCTCAACTAAACTTTAACACCAGATTCACATTCCAAATAACCTATACATGTTTTATTCCTGGTATAATTATTCAGCACCACTGTGAGTGAACTTCTGAAGGAAATAGATGAACTAGTTAGTCATAGTGTAAAGAAAAACATTTAACTTAAAGCAAGCAGACAAACGCAACTGCTGTGCCTTTTAGAGACAGGAGCAATCATTTCAGGAAAGTTCTCTCAATTTGATAGTACAAAAGTAATGTGGTGATGGAAATAGCCTGAGGAATAGAGGGAGAAACAGAATTTTTAAAAGTACAGAAAAATAAGAAATGGGGAAAGGATTCCCTATTTAATAAATGGTGCTGGGAAAATTGGCTAGCCATAAGTAGAAAGCTGAAACTGGATCCTTTCCTTACTCCTTATACGAAAATTAATTCAAGATGGATTAGAGACTTAAATGTTAGACCTAATACCATAAAAATCCTAGAAGAAAACCTAGGTAATACCATTTGGGACATAGGCATGGGCAAGGACTTCATGTCTAAAACACCAAAAGCAACTGCAACAAAAGCCAAAATTGACAAATGGGATCTCATTAAACTAAAGAGCTTCTGCACAGCAAAAGAAACTACCATCAGAGCGAACAGGCAACCTACAGAATGGGAGAAAATTTTTGCAATCTACTCATCTGACAAAGGGCTAATATCCAGAACCTACAAAGAACTCACACAAATTTACAAGAAAAAAACAAACAACCCCATCAAAAAGTGGGCAAAGGATATGAACAGACATTTCTCAAAAGAAGACATTCATACAGCCAACAGACACATGAAAAAATGCTCGTCATCACTGGCCATCAGAGAAATGCAAATCAAAACCACAATGAGATACCATCTCACACCAGTTAGAATGGCAAACATTAAAAAGTTAGGAAACAACAGGTGCTGGAGAGGATGTGGAGAAATAGGAACACTTTTACACTGTTGGTGGGATTGTAAACTAGTTCAACCATTATGGAAAACAGTATGGCGATTCCTCAAGGATCTAGAACTAGATGTACCATATGACCCAGCCATCCCATTACTGGGTATATACCCAAAGGATTATAAATCATGCTGCTATAAAGACACATGCACACGTATGTTTATTGTGGCACTATTCACAATAGCAAAGACTTGGAATCAACCCAAATGTCCATCAGTGACAGACTGGATTAAGAAAATGTCGCACATATACACCATGGAATACTATGCAGCCATGAAAAAGGATGGGTTTGTGTGCTTTGTAGGGACATGGATGCAGCTGGAAACCATCACTCTCAGCAAACTATCGCAAGAACAGAAAACCAAACACTGCATGTTCTCACTCATAGGTGGGAACTGAACAATGAGATCACCTGGACTCGGGAAGGGGAACATCACACACCGGGGCCTATTATTGGGAGGAAGGAGTGGGGAGAGATGGCATTAGGAGTTATAACTGATGTAAATGACGAGTTGATGGGTGCTGATGAGTTGATGGGTGCAGTATGCCAACATGGCACAAGTATACATATGTAACAAACCTGCACGTTATGCACATGTACCCTAGAACTTAAAGTATATATTAAAAAAAAAAGTACAGAAGCAGTAATGCCTCGTCTTGCAAGGGAGAAATTTAAATTGTAAATTCAAGTTGTAAACAGGCAAAAAAACAGAAGTTCCCTCTCTGGAGCAACTGGGCAGCAACAGAGAAGACACCTATAAACATCAGTATTTGGATATTCATTGCCCTATACTTGTCATTAGATAGGACAACCAAAAACTCAGTGACTCAGAGCAGGTAAAACTTTATTTTTCTTTCAAAAACAGTTCATAGGCAAAAACCCATTCAGGATGGAAGGCAGTACTGCTCCACATGGTCAACTAGGGACTAGGGCCTTTTCTCCTTGTTGCTTTAATATCCCCTAGGATGCTGTCCTTCTCAACAAGGCAGAAGCTAGCTCTCATGCACCCTATCAGCATTTCAGCCCTCAAGAGTATGAAAAATAGGAAGGGGAGAGAAAGAAGCTTCCTTTTTAAGAGGTGACAAGCAAGTCGCATTTATTGGGAGGTTGCTCCAAGGGAGGGACTAGTTGAGAAACCCTTTGCCCTGCTGATACTTAAAATGGTAGAAGTGGTTCTATTACTTAAAGTAAAAATAGAGGTTAATACAGGCAAACAATTAACACTCTCTGTTATAGCCACAAGTTAATTTAAAATGCCTCACTGTCCCATCATGCTGCAAGTTAGCCTGCTGCCAGCAAAATTTGTTCACATACACAGAACTTTAAATGAGATTATTTAGGCCTTGCTCTTAAAGAACAACTGCTGACCAATGATCATTAACAGAGGTTTGCAGGGAGCAAAATCATACTTCCCTATTCCAAAATAGCTCCATAGAGACAATAATGAATCTAGATGGAAAGAACAGGATTACTATTTTTTAAAAAACAGAAAACAATTTTTAAAAATTCTTTGGAAAATGTTAGAAAGTGTTCTTAAAAGAAATAGAAAAAGTCAGCAAAAAAACAATGAAGTCAAGGAAATCTCCAAAAAAGTGTTTGGAGAATTGAAGGTAAGAATGAAAACAGAAAACATAACTAAATCCAATAATTAACAAGGAGGTCCAATACCAAATGATTTTGGTTTCCATGAAAAGAGACAACAGTGAAGAAATGTTACTGAAAACATTTTATAAGAAAATTTCTCAGAATAAAAGGATATGAGTTTACAGAGTGAAAGAGCCCATCAAGAATTAGCATAATAAATGAAAATAAATCATACAGTAAAGTATACCAACGTGGTATTTTAGAACACCATGAGTAAAGATTGTATCATAAAAGCTTCCAGAGTTGAGGAAAAATCAGGTCATAAATCAGGATGTCTTCTGACTTCTCAATAGCTATATGGAATATATTAAAACAGTAGATAAATTCCTTTAAAACGGGAGGAAAAATAACACTTTACCCAGCCTGCTATGCCCAGCCAAACTATCAATCAAGTGTGAAAATAGTTTCAATCAAGTGTGAAAATAGTATCAATCAAGTGTGAAAACAGACGGTTTCAAGAATACAGGAGTTCACTCAATAGTTTACTTCCTATACATCATTTCTTAGGCAGTTCCTGGAGGATGTGCTCCAACAAAATGAGGAAATAAGAAAAAGAACATGAGTCAACGAAGTAAATACAGGGCAGGAAGGCAAGTCTACAGATTTGAGAGCATCCATTGCTTGTTGTAGTGGGTAGCAGGTCCTGTCACTGTCCTGTCAGTATCACGAGGGCCCTGCCACTTTAGCACACTCTGAACAACTTCCAACTGCCTGATATCTGTTTCCTTTTACCCAGGCTTTTTCCACAACCATCGAAGGTTACTCTGATTTGCAATTAGCAGGATAAACTGAAGATAACACCTTACAGAAGCAGACCTCAATTAACAACTGATGGAAGTATGTATAAATATCCCAGCTCCCTACCCTGAGCTATGATTACTCTGAGGTGCGAGTTCACCGTCTTTACCAGTTTCCCTTGGGATGAGACTTCAGTCATCCTAACTAACTTCCTAACATATCCTATTTGGTTGCCTTTGTTTTCATATCTCACTGCCTTTCTCTCCTGGTGTTTCCTGCACCTCCTAAACAAATTACCTACACTTTAATTCTTGTTTCAAGGTCTGTTTCTAGGGCTTTGGAAGAAAGGTACATGAGAATAAGAAAGGAATTAATAAAGCATATGATATCTCAAGATTTGGAATACATTTGGTAGACTGAAAAATCTCTTGGAGCATTTAGGAGAAAATGTAAATAGGAATATAGAAAACAAAACAAGCAAGCAAACAAACATTACTGGAAAAGGACATTATAGACAACATATTAAAACAAAAGAAAGGAAACATGCTCACAAAATACTATTTGGTATACTGCATAGTCATAACCTGTAAAAGTTATTACTGATGTAACCAAATTATGCAATAATTATATTGAAAGAAATAGGAAAAGCAGGTGGTATATTAGAAGATGATTAAATATCTGTAATCAATAGATAGCAGCTAAAATGAATAATCTAAGACAAACAGAAAAAACCTATTATCTTAAAATATGAAGGTAAATATCAGAAAAAAAAAGTTGCAAGATATGACAGTGGTTCTCTGGGAGTAGGGAAAGGGAATTGTGTACACCAGATAATATGCTAATTTGTTAAACATGAATATATCTTAATTTTAAAAATAAATAAAGTTGATAGGTCAAGAAATAGATGCATTTCTAACATGGTTTACAATTTATAGAATTATGCACAAAGTTAAAATCTTAAATGTGAAATTTAAATTTAAAATGGAAAGAGAAAAATGGATAATATAATGGAAGTAAGCTCTCTATACTTACCTTTATTGTTTTAATATTTGTTAGAATATATATATGTATTTATTTTAAATAATTTTTAGAGGGATTTAAATGAAAGGATAAATTAAAGAATAGAAGGATAATTTAAATCTATGTGAAAATAAGTCAACACTACTCCTTTATATTAGTAAAGAATGGTAAGAAAGGAAAAATAAAGGGCAAAGGGCTAGTATTTAAAAACCTCAACTGTTTCTTCTGTACTCTTAAAGACTGAGACTTGGGGTGGATAACTCTTTGTTTAAGCATGTTAATAACATGAAAATATAAGCAAACATAATTACCCATCTTATCCACTCATAAAATGGTGTGGAAGGTGACTTTCTGGATAGTGGAAATTTTAATTTTATTTATGAAATTAGTTCATTTACAGTTGGTGGAACAGAAGATCCTCAGCACCACTTGTCCCCACAAAAGTACAACTTGCAATTATTCAAAGACAAGAACACCACCTTGAATTCACCAGAATCTGAGAGAGAAGAGGAGAAAGCTCCTACAACAAAACCACAACTTGTAAAATGGCCATTTTAGACTGTGCCACCCTCTCCCCTAAGCTGGCATAACCACCACTCACAGAGAACTTCCCTGGACCCACAGTTTCCAAGGTGGGAGGAGGGAACTGGAAGTGGACATTCTACCTTCCCACTGGTCTGGGAATTTTCATGGGAAGCCCACTGCAGTCCTGTCCCACAGGAAGCACTGGGAATGCCAGGAGGGCTGAACCACCCGGGGTGAATTGAAGACAAGTGGGGGGAAGGGGTGCTTATCACAGGAACTAGCATGTGGATCTTGGTGGCTACTCTGCATATAAATCAGCTGGGCATCACACGAAGGAGACTGGACAGTGCCATAGTGCTTCATGGGATACAACCCATGGCAAGGCCTGAGTCCCTGGTCAGATTTCCCACACAGCCCGGATGCTTACATGGAACTTTCCCCTGACCTGGAAGCAACTGAAAAGTCAGTGATGAAATTCTGGTGCTCTCTTAAGTCTTCCCCAGACCTGGAAACCACTGCAAGTCTGTGTTTAAGTTCCTGTGCAAGCTATAAGTTCTGGTACTCACAATAAGTCTTCCCCAGACTGGGAAACAATGAAAGGGCAGTAATTTAGTTCCAGGGAAGTGTTTAAGTTCTGGTGCTCAATATAAATCCTTCCCAGAATGGGAAGAAACTACAGGCCAGCAAATAAAGTTCTAATGTTAAGTAATAAAAGTCTAACACCACCAAAGAACACCTGCAAAAGTTGGAAGAGGTGGCCATTTCTTCCAATGCACAGGCATCAATGTAAAGACACAGGATTGAAAAAAAATCAGGGAAAAAAACCAACAAAGCTCTGGTAATAGACCCTGAAGAATTAAAGATCTGTGAACTGTCTGACAAATAATTAATAATAACCCTCTTTTAAAAGTTCAGGGAATCACAAAAAAAGAATAGAAAATTAAATACAATTTATAAAACAATCTAGAAACAAAATAAGAAATCTGACAAAGAAATAAGAACAATTTTTATTTGATGTCTGTTTTTTAGAGATGGGGGTCTCACTTTTTCACCCAACTTGGAGGGCAGTAGTATGATCATAGCTCAATGCCATCTCGAATTTCTGGTCTCAAGTGATCCTTCAGCCTCAGTCTCCCAAGTGACTGCTACAGGCACATGCCAGAATGCCTGGCTAATTTTTAAATTTTTTGTGGAGACAGGGTCTCCCTATATTGCTCAGGCTGGTCTCAAACACCTGGGCTCAAGCGATCCTCTCCCTTTGGCCTCTCAAAGCACTGGGATTACAGGCATGAGCCAACATGCCCAGCCTAGGAACAACTTTTAAAAACCAAATCGAAATTCTAGAAATAAATAATGCAATAACTGAACTGAAAAACTCAACAGAAAACTTCATCAGCAGACCTGATCAAACAAAGGAAAGAATCAGCAAGCCTGGGCCCTAACACAGTGCCTTATGCCTATAATCCCAGCACTTTGGGAGGCCAAGGCAAGAGTATTGCTTGAGACCAGGAGTTTGAGACCAGCCTGGGGAATATAATAAGACTCCTTGTCTCTTAAAAAAAAGCCAGCCATTGTAGTGCATGCCTGTAGTCCTAGCTCCTCAGGAGGCTGAGATGGGAGAGTCATTTAAGCTCCAGGGTTCAAGGTTACTGTGACCTATGGTTGTACCACTGCACTCTAGCCTGAGTGACAGAAAAAAAAAAAAAGATTCAGCAAGCTCAAAGACAAAACACCCACGCCACTTTCAGCAATAAACAGATAATCCAGACAGTAAATCAACAAACAAACTTTGGAGTTAAACTACACACTATACCAAATGGAACAAATTGATATTTACAGAACATGTCATCTAACAGCTGCAGAAACACATTTTCTCATTACCACATGAAATATTCTCCAGGATAGACTCTATGTTAGGCCATAACATACACAAGTCACAACAAATTTTTAGAAATCAAAATTATACCAAGTACCTAAAAACAAAAAAGGCCATAAGTCACAAACCCATACCTAATACCATACTGAATGGGGAAAAGTTGAAAGCCTTTCTTCTAAGATCTAGAACAAAACAAAGATGCCAAGTTTCACCACTTCTATTCAACATAGTACTGGAAATCCTAGTCTAAGCAATTAGACAAGCAAAAGGGGAAGAAAAAACATTCAGATTGGAAAGGAAGAAGTCAAAATGTCCCTGTTTGTAGATGACATTATCTTATATTTAGAAAAACATGAAGACTCCATCAAACAACTGTTAGAATTGATAAATAAATTCAGTAAAGTTGCAAGATTCAGCATTAATACAAAAAAGTTAGTGATATTTCTGTAAGCCAATAGAGACTGGCCGATGCCATAGTTCTTAGTCAACAGATAGGACCATACAGAAAAGGCAATTGTAGAAGAGACCATCTGTACCCTGGCCATATGCCCTTGACCTACTCTAGAGATTACTGCAAATGGTCTCATAGGTGCCATTGGTTACCCATGTCTTTCTGCGTAATGGTAATCCCCAACCTTGGAGCCTGCTTAGCCAGCCTACAGTGTAGATCCCTTGGGTCTGGAAGCCATTGCTACTGGGGCAAAACTTCACCGGTGAGAGAAGAGAATAGGCAGAAAAATACCCAGGTCTTCATCCTGAGGAAGACAACTCAGAGTTGGATTCGACATGCTCTCAGATGATTCTAGCATGATTGAGTCCCAGTTGGCAATGAAATAACCCCCTCAACAATGTTCCCTCATGGGTTTTCTTCTCTTCCCCATCTTACTGCCCACTCACTCACAGTGTTTTCTGGAACCACCTTTCAGGGAAACTAGTTGCTCACAAATTCTTGGATCAGGAGAAATTCAAAAATAAACATTAAACCAAGAAATTCCTAGTAGCTTCATAGGTAATGGCTTTTAAGATCATAGATAGATATGTTTGATGCTAAGTGGGTGTCTTAATCTATTTTCTGTTGCTTATAACAGAACATCTGAAACTGGGCAATTTGTAAACAAAAAGAAGTATTTTTTACAATTCTCAAGGCTGGGAAATCCAAGTCCACGGCTCGGCATCTGGTGAAGGCCTTCTTGGTGGGGACTCTGCAGGGTCCCAAGGTGGCACAGGGCATTACATGGCAAGGGGGCTGAGCATACTAACTCAGGTATCTCTTCCTCTTCTTACAAAGCCACCAGTCCCACTTCTGTGATAACAGCTGCGGAAACACATTCTTCTCATTAGCACATGAAATATTCATCTATGAATGGTTTAATCCATTCATCAGGACAGAACCCTCATGAACCAGCCACCTCTTAAAAACCCCGCCTTTCAATAGTTCCACACTAGGGATTTACTTTCAAAGCGAGTTTGGAGGGGACAAACATTCAAACTATAGCAGTGGGTTTCTCCAACAGCTCCACCTCCTCTGTTACGTCTAAAGTTCAGTGAAAGCCTGCCATAATGCCATTTCCTTCACAGAACTTTGGGAAAATTAAGCCAAAAAGGCCAGTGTTCAAAAGGCCAGATTTCTGTGTGCAGGGAGAGAAAAGACAGCCAGAGGAGCTCATCTCAAAAAAAAAAAAAAAAAAAAGAGTGAGAAAGAGACTGCACAGGAAGCAAGAGTCAGAATAAGTGATGACTTAAAGGAATAAAAGCTTCTAGAGTATCCAGAGATATAAGGAAGTTTGATATGGGGTATCTCTTCCTGTGTGAGGCAGTTGCTCAATCTGTTTTAATTTAATATTAAGGAAAGTGGTGACCAAATCAGATAGAAGACTTGAGAATATGTAGAGGGCTGACATGCGGGCTTGATCTTCATCTGTCCCTCAAAGTTCCTTCTCTGGGGTTGGAATGAGGAGTTCAGACATAAAAGTAAACTTCCTTCATGGAAGGCAGTAGTGGAGATGCGGCATGAGTGAAAGAGACAACATGCACAGGGGCTCAGGGGAAAGCGTGACTCCCCCAGAGGGGGAGAATGGATGAGGCTTTGGGGGTGTGTTGACATTTAACTTCACCAGGGAGGACGTGAGTACAGTGCACACATGAAACTGTGGAGTAAAGGCAGTCTGTCCAGGATGAGAACCCAAGTATGGCCAGGCATGGTGGCTCACACCTGTAATCCCAGCACTTTGGGAGGCCGAAGTGGGCAGATCACTTGAGGTCAGGAGTTCAAGACCAGCCTGGCCAAAGTGGTGAAACCCCGTCTCCACTAAAAATACAAAAATTAGCCAGGCATGGTGGTACGCACCTGTAATCCCAGCTACTCAGGAGGCTGAGGAAGGAGAATCACATGAACCTGGGAGGTGGAGGTTGCAGTGAGCCAAGATCACTGCACTCCAGCCTGAGCAACAGAGTGAGACTCCATCTCAAAAAACAAACAAACAAACAAACAAAAAAATCCAAGTACCTATTTTTTGTGGCCCAAACAGTAAAACAAATGTATTAACTTTATATTATGGATTTTTTAAGGACGCTTATTTCACAGAGTCCTAAATGACCACAAAGACAAAATAGTTTTTTATAATGTACATTTTTAATTGAGAAAAAAAATTGTGCTTTGTGTCTTGAAAAGCAAAAATATAAGCCACACACAGAATGATTAATAATTTCACAATCTCAAAGCACCAAACTTTAGCAAATTATCATTTCTAGATATTTATTATGATGAATATCACTGCCAAATTGACAGTAGATTTGCTAAACTGATCTGTATTGATTTGCAAGAGGCAAGCCAGCAAGGCACCTTTTCCTCCTTCTTTTGAGAAAAATTATAGTTCTTTATCCAAAGTGGATTGTCTTGCCCTGTCTCTCTGTAGTTCCAGTTGTTCAATTTCCAGAGACAGCTTATACACCTCCAGGGCCATTTTCACATCCTCTGGGTTTGGAAGACACTGCATGAGTCTTTTGCCTGCGAGCACTTGTTCACAGCCTTCAGGGGTCTCCTAAAAGAGATATAAGTGGTGGGTGAGATTGAGAAGCTTCTCTCCTAATCATGAAGGAGAGTGGATCCTGACAGTGAAAGGACTACAGGATTGAACCAAGACCAACCTCAGACTGGTGGTTGAGGCTGGGAAAACAAGAAATCACTTGGGTCCCACCACAGTCTTCCCCAGGGGAACATGGATCTGTTCTGAGACAGCTGTCCAGAAGGCCCCCATGGTAACAGAGGCTGTTTTTGCTGACCATCCAGAAAGGAACAACAATATATTATATAGCTTAGCAAAAGTTAAGTTAGGAATCGGTACTACCGGGTCTATGAAACCCTGCTCTGTAAGGGTTCAGTTTTTGCTGTTCTCAAGTGAGAACAGGAGAACTTGCCACCCCTAACTTACCAGAATGCTTCAAGTCAAAAAGAGTTTCTTTGAGTGGGAGTGAGTCAGAAATGAATCCTGACAAGTCAGACTTCACCATTGTTGAGTGGTACAGAGCTCTAGGGGATGCCACCATTTTTAGGGGTTGACAGCGCAGACCTTCCTTGAATTGTGCCACTTACCCACTCACACCTGGGCACCTCTGGGTACCAGGTTCTGTTCTCAGAGCAAGTGATGCTTTTGGGACCAACGATACCATAGCCAGAATCACATTGGACGGTGACATTTTCAGGCTCAACATACTGATTCTTATCCACAGACAACCTTCCGTTCACTAATTCTGGTTTCAGACACAGAGCTGTAACGGAAGCATATTTTTAAGAAATCTGTAAATCTATGAAGAAGGACATGACAACAGTCTCAGATAATAAGAATGAACTGTATCTAGTTCTGCTAATTGCTCTATCTTTCTCTTCATTTGAAAGCAATCATATTAGCATTTTATTGAGTATGACTACCTATCAGACTTCTGCTAAGCCCTTTATGTTGCTATCATTTAAGTCTCCTGGCAGCCCTATGAAATGAGCACTGTTACTATTCCTATTTTATCTAAGAGACAGTTGAGATATGTTAAGACACTTGCTCAAGATGGTAACATTTTCATATAATATGACAGCATATTTCTTTTTTTATTATACTTTAAGTTCTGGGATACATGTGCAGAATCTGCAGGTTTGTTACATAGGTATACATGTGCCATGGTGGTTTACTGCACCCATCAACCCGTCATCTACATTAGGTATTTCTCCTAATGCTATCCCTCCCCTTGCGCCCCACCCCCTGACAGGCCCTAGTGTGTGATGTTTCCCTCCCTGTGTCTGTGTGTTCTCACTGTTCAACTCCCATTTATGAGTGAGAATATGTGGTGTTTGGTTTCTGTTCCTGTGTTAGTTTGCTGATAATAATGGTTTCCAGCTTCATCCATGTCCCTGCAAAGGACATAAACTCATTCTTTTTTATGGCTGCATAGTATTCCATGGTGTATATGTGCCATATTTTCTTTATTCAGTCTATCATTGATGCGCATTTGGATTGGTCCCAAGTCTTTGTTATTGTGAATAGTGCTGCAGTAAACATACATGTGCATGTGTCATTATAGTAGAATGATTAATAATCCTTTGAGTATATACCCAGTAATGGGAGTGCTGGGTCAAATGGTATTTTAGTTCTAGATCCTTGAGGAATTGCCACACTGTCTTCCACAATGGTTGAACTAATTTGCACTCCCACCAACGGTGTAAAGTGTTCCTATTTCTCCACATCCTCTCCAGCATCTATTGTTTCCACAACAGGATATTTCCAAAAGAAGGTATGTGACCCCAGAATCCCAACAAGGTAACTCTCACTCACAGTCTTGATTGCTGCAAGATTCTATGTATAAAAATTTCCTTCTTGCAGACATTTATGCAGCCAACAGACATATGAAAAAATACTCATCATCACTGGTCATTAGAGAAATGCAAACCAAAACCACAATGAGATGCCATCTCATGCCAGTTAGAAGGGTGATCATTAAAAAGTCAGGAAACAACAGATGCTGGAGAGGTTGTGGAAAAATAGAAATGCTTTTACACTGTTGGTGGAGTGTAAATTAGTTCAACGATGATGGAAGACAGGTGTGGCAATTCCTCAAGGATCTATAACTAGAAATACCATTTGACCCAGCAATCCCACTACCGGGCATACACCCAAAGGATTAGAAATCATTCTATGATAAAGAAACATGCACACATATGCTTACTGCAGCATTATTCACAATAGCAAAGACTTGGAACCAACCCAAATGTCCATCAATGGTAGACTGGACTAAGAAACTGTGGCACATATACACCGTGGAATACTACACAGCCATAAAAAGGATGAGTTCATGTCCTTTGCAGGGACATAGATGAAGCTGGAAACCATCATTCTTAGCAAGTTATCACAAGATCAGAAAACCAAACATTGCAAGTTCTCATTCATAAGTGGGAGTTGAACAATGAGAACACATGGACACAAGGAGGAGAACAACACATGCTGGGGCCTGTTGGGGGGTGGGGGCTAGGGGAGAGATAACATTAGGAGAAATACCTAATGTAGGTGACGGGTTGATGGGTGCAGCAAACCACCAGGGTATATGTGTACCTATGTAACAAAACTGCATGTTCTGTACATGTAATCCAGAACTTAAAGTATAATAAAAAAAATTTCCTTCTTGCCTATTATTCTCCTGTGTACAAAAGAGAAAATGGTGGCAAATAAATATTGAAGTTTTTGACAGCAAAGTCATGCATGTTGACAGCAAACTTCTATGCATGTAAAGATCAGACCTGATCTCAACTCCTCCTGTCCCCACAATTGCTGCAAAATACGAGTTCCCCTTCACCCTCCCTGGCCCCTCCCACCAACACACGCCATCTATATCATAGCAGGTGGTGCCTGCCCTGCACGAGACTCTAATGGAAATAACTGTCACTCACGATGTTTATAATTCACTCAGTGGAGCCTATATTCATACTAGAGCAAGTTTCCATGGAAAGTTTGCCACAGGACACAGGTACACTAAGATAAAATGTGATGCTTTTAGAATATTTCTGGAAATATACAAGAAACCAGGTATGGGCTGCCTCAAGAAGGCTGAATTTTGTGATTGGGAGAAAGAAATGGAGGAGATTAATGCTTGTGTATGCCCTATGTATTTTTGCATTGGGTACCATTTGCATATATTGGTTATTTAATATAAATCAAATCAAATGTCTTCATGCTGCCTCTGACAGGGAAGAAATTTAGCTCTCAGTGCTCTCAGGACAGGTCCACCCACTTAGTCTTGAGCTGAAAAGCAAGCTGGAGTTACCTTTACATCGAGGGGCTGGAGCTGACCAGCGTGAATTACTGCAGGAGAGTGTCGCCTGTCCAACCAGAACGTAGCCTTTATCACATTCATATATAATCTCTTCTTTGAAAAAACTGTATACACTAGCTTGTTTATAATGCCCATGGGCAATTTTAGGAGGAAAATTGCAATCTTGAGGGAGAGACAGAAAAGTGAGAGAGCGTTAGCTTGTAAAGTGTATCAAGTAGCACATTGCAGACTATGTGTAGTTTGTAGGAGGCATCATTCTGTCCTTCCATCCTCGCTGCCCATAAGAGCATGTAGCCAAACCCAGACATTTGTGCTGCCCTCCTGTACGCCTCAGACTGAGCAACCATAGAAAGACTTGAGTTATAGCCCTTAGGTTTTCCTTCATCTTATTGACAAGTTCACTCAGCTTTCCATTGTTTAGGAACCATTTTGGCACGCAGCCTTAGGTCATATCATACTCATAGTACACTTAGTCACTTTCAGGCTAAATGCAGAGATGTGCATCCGTGAGAAACTGTAAGGATTTTATATCATCCACCATCTCTGAGTCATTGCTTCCCAGTCGATACTGTCCATCCATGCCCCAGCAGAAAATCCTGTGTTTTAAAACGTTATAGAAAAGAGCTCATAGGATAAATGAAAATGGTGACTTGAACATTGAAATAGTCAAGAGGACATGGCAGGTGCAGAGCACCTCTCTGAAAGGGAATACTATCAGGTCTACAAACACTGCATGAGAAAATTAAAAAAAAAAAAAAAAAAAAAAAAAAGCAGAGCAGCAGGAATGTTGGACAAAGTACTATACCAGTGGACTATGACAGTTATAAGTACTATAATAAGATGCTCCTAGAAGCATGGAAAAGGTGATGGCCCACAATAAATCAGACTGAAATGCTGGGATGGTATAAGAAGGGATTAAATGACTCAGGGAAGTTAACATGCTGGAGTGGACATTTGTGTACAGTGAAAAATGCACCAGGTAGTTATGCCACAAGGGAAGTCCTAGAGGGAACAATATTTACCAAAGCTATAAGGAACTCCCTGAAAAGAGTAGAACCAACATCAAATGCTGGAACTGATGACAAAAAAGGTCATTAATGAAAAAGGTTCACTGATAGCCATAGTAGTCAGAGAGCTGCTCATATGCCTCAGAAGCTAAATAAATGCAACCATTATAATGAATTGCAAGGTCAGAGAGGCAACCAGGGGTGCCTGAGAGTTATGAAGATTAAATCATAGCATTCTTAGGGGTGAAAACAGATGAGCAGCCAACAACAATATACACTTTATTTGTACCATCAAAAGAAATTAAGGATGGATGATCAAGGGACCAAGGCATTTGGCCCAATAAAAAGTCACAATCCTTTGCCCAACATATGAACCTAGGACAGTTTTCCAGCCTGGTAATCATTAATTGAAGATGAAGCCAGTTGCCAGGAGTGAAGATGCTATAAAATCTTGGAAGGTTCGCACAGTAATGAATCTGCCAGTCCTCCAAGAGGACCTATGTTTATTTATGTAGGTCACTGTGCACTGATAAAAGAGGTACAATAATTCAAAAATTATTACACATAGGGCTTGAGTTGACATTGATACCTAGAACCATCATAGCTCTCCTATTTAGTTCAGTTTGTGGTCATTTACATTATCCTTGAAAGTATAGTCAGAATAGACAAAATTGGTAGTTGGCCCAGCCCCTATATTGGGTTCTTGACCTGTGGGGTAAGAGCCATCTTATGCAGGAAGACCAAGTGAAAGCAATTGATACCACCCACCCATTTCACCCTCTCCCCAAGGCAAATAAAGTAAATTTAAAGAAGAAAAACACTACCACAATATCTCCCGGGGTGAGAGAGGAACATGAAAATTAGTGCCGCTCAAATAGCTAAAGACATTGGAGTGGTAATCCCTATTATATTTCCATTAAATTCTTATCTGTCTACTATAAAAATTAGAAGGATTCTGAAGAACTACAGTATACCACTGAAAAAAAAAACCACACATCTTAGTTCCTATTGCAGCCATTGTACCAGATGTGATATCTTTGCTAGAGCAGATTAATGTGAGTTCAAGTAAATGAGGTCACTGATTCAGCAAAGACCCTTCTTTCCTTTCCTAGCAGAAACAGTTTGCATATACATGGAAGGTGTCAAGAGTGTACATTTGCAGGTTTGTTTTTGGGCTATGATAACCCTCCTGCCCATGTCATAATAGAGTCTGAATATATCTTGACCATCTGGATATCCACAGAACATGACATTGATCCGATATATCAATGGCATCATGTTAATTCCCCCAGATAAGCAAGAGGTATTAGCATGATGATGCTCCAAAGTAAAAAATAAAACAAAAAATAGAGTCAGATGTTTGCAACATCAATAAAATTTTCAGAGGTCCAAGGTTCAGGGAACACTAAGATATCCCATCCAAACTAAAGTCAAATTATTGCAAATTGCACATCCCACTCTGAAGAATGTAGTACAGCACCTAAATAGGACTTTTCAGATTCTAGAGGCAGCGTAATTCATACTTGAGGATGGTGCTCCAACCCATAGGCTAGGGGGGACAAATGATTGCCAGGTTTGAGTGGGGCCCATGGTAGGAAAGTGCTCAACAGCAGGTCTAGTCTGCAGTGAAATTACCCTGTTGCTTGAGCCTTAGGACCCAGCAGAGCCTAGTGTATTGAAGGTGGTTGTAGTAGGAAAAGATGCAAACATCAACAGGACATTTACACCATAGAACATTGAGATCGTGAAGCAAGGCCATGCACTGCAGTAGAGGACTGTATGCTTTCTGAAATATAACTCTTGGCATGTTACCACGTCCTGATAGAGAAAGCTCCCGACAGTGTGTCATCAAGTGATCATGCAGCCAGAATCACCCATCATGAGCCAAGTCTGTCAGACCCATCAGGTTATAAGGTTAAGCAGGCAACCATTCATTATAAGATGGAAGTAGAGCATCTGGGATTGAGCATGGGCAGGACAAGCTGGCACAGGCAAGCTGCACAAATAGAAAGCCCAATTCCTACCTGTGCCCAGCCACTGTGGCAGGAGTGCCTCTTCTTTAGCTCACAGTTGTGGCTGTAGCAGTTATCCAATATAACCAACTGTCCGGATAGGGAAAACTCTGAGCATGGTTCACAAATATTTTTGGTATTGTAAACCAAAAATAAAATTCTAAGGTCCCCCAACCATCTGAATGGACCCCTCCTCTTGGCCAAGAGCATTCCAGAGTTAACCTGAACATCTTGTTCAGGCCATGATGGAAGAGAGGGTTGGACATTCCCCATTATACCCATCCAACATTAACATCAACACAGATCTTAAATCTAATAAGAAACATTTATGGCTCAGCACGGTGGTTCATGCCTGTAACCCCAGCACTTCAGGAGGCTGAGGTGGGCAGATCACTTCAGGTCAGGAGTTCAATAACATCCCGGCCAACATGGTGAAACCCTGTCTCTACTAAAAATACAAAAATTAGCTGGGCACAGTGGCATGTGCCTGTAATCCCAGCTACTCAGGAGGCTGAGGCAGGAGAATCTCTTGAACCCAGGAGGTGGAGGTTGCCATGAGCTGAGATTGCATCACTGCACTCCAGTCTAGGCAACAGGGTGAAACTCTGTCTCAAAACAAAACAAAGCAAAACAAAACAAATCTCCACAACCTCTTATCATAAACCAGATATTCCTTTCTTCTGGTAATAATTCAACCAATTGCCAATCAGAAAATCTACCTATGATCCAGAAGCCCAGCCCCACTCCCCCTTCCCCGACACCACTTTGAGTTCTCCCACCCTTCCAGATCAAACCAGTGTAAATCTTACATGTATTATGTCTCCCTAAAATGTATTAAAGCAAGCTGTACCCCTACCACCTTGGCCACAGTCATCAGGACCTGTGTCACAGACACATCCTCAACCTCAGCAACATAAATTCTCTAAATTGATTGAGACCTGTCTCAGATATTTTGGGTTCATAGTATGTGTTGTAGAGAAGAGAGAGATAACCTCCATCTCAAATCCCCTTAGCTCTCATGTGGGCTCTTCAGCTGGATCTATAAATCAAATTGGCACTAGGTAGATTAACAAGGGAAAAGCACACAGATTTTATACATACATGGGGATCTTCCCAAGAGGGTAAAGTCTGAAGAAGTGGCCAAAGCAAGATATTTTATACTTTGTAAACAAAGAACAATAAATTTGAGAAGAAATGTCAGGACAAAGGGGATTTGGCTAGGAGCAATAAATTTCTAGGAGAGTCACTAGGAGATGTATAGGGAGGGGCTGTAAAACTAGTGGAAAATAAAAGCTACTTTGGGAATTTTAGTATTCAGGTCCACTGCAGCCCCTAATTCCCAGTCTCTGGTGATAAGGGCTATATAGTTTCTTGCTCTAGAAAGGGTAGAGTACTGCTCCCAGAGGAATCTTTATGGCTTGTGCATGCAAAAAGAGACAAGACAGCTAGCCCTTTCTGAAACTTCAATTTCTCTAATGTTTTCAACTTGAAATATTCAACATTCCAATTCAGCATATTTTGAGATGGCATGTCTTTCACTCCTTTGGTCCTTCACTCCACTCCTAAAATGGAAGCCGCATTACAGCCCAATCAAGGTCAGTCTTGAAAGACAACTTGTAAGGGGTAATCTTCCTGAAAGGAAGTGCTATAGAGGGTACACCTAAAGAAAGTGGCCTAAGGATAGGCTAAATTAGGATTCAGGGCATGGAATGAATGGCTTGTCTGGTCAAGGTCCTACTCCTCTAAGGAGAAAGATTGGAAGATTGGGCACAAAGAGATCTGGGGTGGAGCAAGTAAGTGGACATTTGAGAGTGGGCGGGAAGTGTGAAGATCTTTATTTTGTGTGTTAACACCAGAGCATCCTCAATAGAAAAGGTATTAAACAGCCAAGTAAAAAAAAGTCTCAGCTAGTTGAGGTAAGCTATTCTCTGTTATTGGCCTCATGGGTCCTGGCACAAGAGGAGGAGGAGCAGAGTGGTTGTGGTGGCATGCATGGAAGACAAGCATGGACCCAACAGCATGGGGTCCCACTCACCAAGGCTCATTGTTGTCACTGAATCGCCAACCTGCCAACAACAATGCTAAGTCCCTAGTATGATACCATCACTTGAGGCAACCAAAAAGCCACTTCCTAGCAAGTTGACTACATTGGACCTCTTCTACCGTGAAAGGAAGAGAAGTGTATTCTGATAGAACTAGACAAATATTGCAGGCATGGATTTGCCTTTCTTCCTTGCAGAACCTCAGTCAGCACGGTCATCTTTAGGGTTACAGAGTGTCTGAACAATTGGCATTGACATAGGATCCACTACATCCAACTAGAAAACCCACTTACAGCAAAGATGATGTGTTGTTGGGACCATACTCACAGAATCCACTACTCAAATCACATACTGCATTACTCAGAACCTGCCGACCTGTGAAAACACCGAATGGCCTATTAAAGGCACAGTTGAAGTGCCAGCTGGGAGGCAATGCTTGACAGTGATGGGACACTGTCTTCCAAAATGCTGTATTTATTTTAAATCATACTGACTTTTATACGGCTCTGGGTCCCCAGTAAAATAAATGCATCAGTCCAGGAACTAGGGGATGGAAGCGTGAGCGGCCCCACTGGCCACCACTCTAAGTGACCTACTTGGGAAATTTGTGCTTCACATCTCTGAAGCTCTGGGACCCGCAGGTTTAAAAGGCCTGGTTGGCAAAGTGGGAACATTTCTACAAGTGGGAGATAGGAGTTTTCCTGTTGATTAATAAGCTGCAACTAATGCTTGGTCACTTTGGGCTCCTAATAGGGGTAATGAGCCCTCACCATCGCTAGATAGAGATATCAAACACAAAGGGAGAAGGGTGGAATGTGTTAACACTTGAGCCATTTTTTTTTTTTTTTTTTTTGACAAAGTCTTGCTCTGTTGCCCAGGCTGGAATGCAGTGGTGTGATCTTGGCTTACTGCAACTTCCACCTCCTGAGTTCAAGCGATTCTCCTGCCTCAGCCTCTTGAGTAACTGGGACTACAGGCCCACACCACCATACCCGGCTAATTTTTTTTATTTTTAATAGAGATCAAGTTTCGCCATATTGGCCAAGCTAGTCTCGAACTCCTGACTTCAGGTGATCTGCCCACTTCGGCCTCCCAAAGTGCTGGGATTACAGGTGTGAGCCACCATTCCTGGCCCACTTGAGCCTTTTGGAGAAGCAGAAGGAGGCATTTCACACTGGGTGATGGTCTGACTGGAGGGCTCAGAGGCAACAGAAGGCTGCTGTTTGAGGAAGAAGGAAGCGAGCTCAGAAAGGCAGATTCAAATAGATTTTGACAGTTCTTCTTCTGCAGATTGAGACATATGGACCAGAAATAAGGGGAGAAAGAGAATAATACAAAGAAACAAAACGCAGTACTTGAAAAGTCCAGCTTACATATTACATGCTGTCTATTTCACTGATTCAGAAAAGAGGAAACTGAGGTGACCAAAAGAAAGGGAACACACAATGAGGAGGAAGGAGAAAGTTGGACCCATTCCAAGAATCATGCAAGGTATATGAATTTTTTTACCTAATTTTAAACCTTCTCTTAATAATCTCCATCACACTCATATGAAGAAACTCCCAGAATAAGATAATTCTATGAACTCTTACTGTCTCCACATGATGGTGTTCGGGGACTCCATGTGCCATCTGCTTGGCATGTAGCTGAAAATCTTCTGATCCCATGACACGAAAATGAAATCTCATCTCCATAGAAATAAACACAGTGATTGGCAGGACGATTTTTCCTGTGTTGAGTGATTTGAGCACTATCTAGCTTTGGTTCAGGGCAACATAACGCTGAAAAATAAAACGTGAGGTGCATGGTTAGTAAAATCACCATGAGGAAGCTTCCATGGCTAACAACCCCATTTCCATCTTTGGAAGATCTCACCACTGAAGAGAGATTGGGAAAACAGAAAAGGAGACTCAGGACACTCCAAGTCTGCTCTTTTCCCCCTTATTTGCTAAAGTCCTCTAATCCAACTAAGCATTTCATTAGGAGGCTCCAAAATGAAAACCTATATGAAAAGCCAGGTGTGGTAGCTTATGCCTATAAACCCAGTGCTTTGGGAGTTCAAGATGGGAGAATTGCTTGAGCCCAGGAGTTTAAGACCGGGCCACAGAGTGAGACCCTGTCTCCAAAAAATTAAAAAAATTAAAAAAAATTTTTAACCAATAGGAAAATGTAAATTTTCAAAATTATTCAAGAGCAATGACAAACAACATCCATTTACTTATGGCTTCATTATTAAACTCTCTATTAACTTACACTTCTCAAGTCACAAAGAAGAAAGTTTTCAAAAGTTTATATCCACCTAACAGCTAAAGCATACGAATAAATTTAAATTATTGCTTATTTCAAGGATTTTTCTTTTTTGATGCAAAATTTAAGAGAAATAGCTATTTAAATGGCAAGATCTTGCTTTATCACTCAGGCTGGAGTACAGTGGCACAATTATGGCTCACTACAGTCTCAAACTCCTGGGCTCAAGCAATTCTCCCACCTCACCCTCCTGAGTAGCTGGGACTACAGGTGTGTGCCACCACACCCACTAAGTTTTTTATTTTTTGGTAGACAAGGGGTCTCACTATGTTACCCAGGCTGGTCTCAAACTCCTGGCCTCAAGTGCTCCCCTCACCTCAGCTTCCCAAAGTTCTGGGGTCACAAATGTGAGCCATGACGCCTGGCCAAATTCTTTAATTTTTTAATATAGTAAGAGCTGCTATAGGGACACAATTTTTTTATTCATTAGTAGCAATACTTCAAGAAAAATCTTGCTATTGTCTGATGTAAGAGAAAACATCAAAACAGAATAAAACATTATATTCTCCGTGTCAGTAACTCAACCAGTATTAAAATGGGGTCTTTTGGACATACTCAAACATTTCCAGTGCTCATTTGTTTAGGAATTATAATAAAAATACTCAGCAATCATATGGTTTGGATATTATAACAACAATAATATTTATGAAATGCTTTACAGTATAGAAAATACTTTTAAATATGTAAGTCATGAGTCTAAATTCACATTTGATCAGGTTTCATAACTTGGATAAATACTACTTCACTTCTGCTTTTAAAATTGTTAAAAATATTCTTTATTAAATAATTAAATCAATAAGACCATAGTGGGTCAAATAAATGTAACCAACTGGGTCCTGCTCTGTCATCCAGGCTGGAATGTAGTGGCATGACCTCGGCTCACTGCAGCCTTGGCCTCTTAGCCTCAAGTTATCCTCCTACCTCAGTGTCCTGAGTAGCTGGGATTACAGGCATGTGCCACCACATCCAGCTAATTTTTAAAATTATTTGTAGAGACAAGGGTCTCACTATATTGCCCAGGCTGGTCTCAAACTCGTGAGCTCAAGCAATCCTCCCGCCTCAGCCTCCCAAAGTACTGGGATTATAGGTATGAGCCACCGCACCTGGCCTAAACACAACTATAAAGGAGGTTTTTAAACATTTATAAGCAGTATTTTTTGTTATTTAAGTAATGGCAATAAGTTAATTATTAAGTATATTTTTAATTCAGTCCTTTCATTAAAATATTTTATTCTATTTCCCCAAAATGAGTCTGAATAACTGCAATTAAACTTTGTTAAGCCTTAATACGAAATAAATAATCTTCTGACAGGTTGATCTAAACTACCACTTTTTGTTATTTATGCATTTCACACATTGTTCAAATTCTGCCACGCAGCATAAAATTCCCTGTATTCTTGGCCTCAGTTACTTCACCTCTAAAGTGGCAAGGTTCTGATAGATGGGTAGAAGAAAGCATTTTCTTCCTCTGTTGTCTGTTCCACCGAGGCTCATAAAATAGTATCCACCTGTCCTTCAGTCCCTCACTCATTCCCACAAATAAAAGAGGTGCATCTCCTACCAGAGAAACTGGAGAAAGTCTCCTTTATATCCTTCCAAAGTGAGAATACTGAGTCACGAGTCAGGACTTGTCTTCTAGAGGCAGATCAGGAGTCCTGCCATCTCATGACTCAAGAGGAATGAGACACAAGTCACCTTGCAGCTAGTTACATTCATGACTGTTTCACAAACTTGTCTTCTGCCAAACACCCTAAAGCCCATACTGGGGGGAGGTAAGGGCTATGAAGGAAGCCTGACTCTGACAACAGTTGAACTGTATTCTCCATTCCAGTTTTACCAGTAAGAAGACTAATACTTAATCTGCATACTGTTTGACTTCTGTGTCTACTTCTCATTTGATTCTGAACTGGGATAAGGAAAGGTTCCAATTTCTCAGTGCCTCAAACTGTAACATGTTTATGGTCCCCTTCTGGTACTAACGGTTCACTAATCTGTTCAATTAACTTAATTCTAAACTTGTTGTGAGGGATAAAATTATATTCATTTAAGGTAGAGAATCCTAGCACATACTGGATGTTTAATATACAAAAATATTAAAAAACAAAAACTCACCCTCACATCCTTGATATGGGGTCCATCTCAAATTTTTCTGACAAATCAAAGTCGTCGGTGCATCTGTAGTGGGTTTGTAGCCAGGATGACAGCGGTACCTTAATATAGTCCCAACAACATACACATCCTCTTTTTTCGGCCTAGGATATGTTTCCCAGGAAGCATGTGGAATGTCTGGTAAGTTAGTACAACTACCTGCTCATGAAAGAAGAAGAAGAACAAAGGGACACTATTACTAGGGCTGCCACAGCAATCAATAAGCCTGTCCTATCAAAGGAGGTCATGTGTTCATTCAGCCTGGAACCAGCCTGCAAGGCCTGATGTATCAACCACACCAGAAAAGACGCATGGACATTCGCTCAAATGTGCACACCTCCAGAGAGGCTCTTTACTAAGGGCACTCCCAAGTGGTTTCCATATGCTGTGCCAAGTATAATAATATTAATTCTCCTTCCTCTTCTTTACACTTCAGAGATTTCAGTTTCTGAACTGAAGCATGGCAGGAAAACTGTCACAAACAAATCTAACTATGTTTCCTGATTGATTGGGGAAAATAAACAAGAGCCATTCCCCTCATCCAGATGATACCAGGAATGGCTTGGCAAGAAAAAAAACAAACTCCAAGCATTTTCTGAGCCTGGGCCTTGGGTCTTGTCCTCTTCTCTCTTTCCCAATGCTACTGATTCATATGATATGGAAATATAATGCAAACATCTACCACATTGTATGTTTATCACTTTTTATCTTCAGATATTTGAAATGGAATATAAAAGTTCCTTTTTAATGGCATTATTGAGATTCAAGTCACACAAATAAATTCACCCATTTAGAATGTGCAATTTGATGGTTTTTAGTATATACAGAGTTGTGCAACCATCACCATTAACTAATTTCAGAATATTTTTATCAACCCAAGACAAAACCTCATATTCATTATCAGTCACTCTCTATTTCCACCTCCCCCTAGGTCCTGACAACCACTAATCTATTTTTTTTCTTTATGGATTTGCCTAATCTGAGCATTTTAAATAAATGGAATCACACAATACATGTACTTTTTGTTGCTGGCTTATTTCAGTTAGCATAATATTTTCAAGGTTCATCCACATTGTAGCATACATTAGTACTTTTTATTTTTCATTTTTATTGCTAAATGATATAATCCATTTTATGGATAAACCACTTTTTGTTTATTCATTATTCAGTTGATGGGTATTTGGGTTCTTTGGCTATTATGAATAACGCTGCTATGAATCTTCATGTAAAATTTTTGTGTGTGGACATATGTTTTCATTTCTCTTGGGCAGATACCCAGGAGGGTAATTACTGAGTCATATGGTAAGTCCATGCTTAAACTTCAGAGGGACTGCAAAAACTCTTTTCCAAAATGGTCACACCAATTTACATTCCTATTAGCAGTGTATGAGAGTTCTAATTTTTCCACATCCTCACCAACATTTGTTATTGTCTATCTTTTCTATTGTAGCCATTCTGCTGGATGTAAAGTGGTATCTGATTGTTACTAGAAGGCTATCCTTACAAGAAATACTAAAGGAAATTGTTCAAACTGAAAGTAATTGACACCAGACAGTAATTTGAATCCACAGAGAAAAACAATGAGCATCAGCAGAGGTCATTATGTCAGTAATTTGAAACCCAATAGGATATATATTACTACTCCTTCCTTCTCTTAGCTGATTTAAACAGCAATTGCATAAAACAATATGTATATTATTGCATTATTAAGCCTATAACATAGAGAAATGCAATATATTTGACAATAACATCACAAGAAAGGTAGGAGGGAACAAAGCTGTATTGTAGTACAGAAGTGACACCAGATGGTAACTTAAATCTACAGGAAGAAATAAAGAGAGCTAGAAATGATGAATAAGAAGATTAACATAATAAACTCTATAAATATATACTTGCCCTCCTTTCTTCTCTCAGCTACTATAAAAGACATGAAACATGAAATTATATAAAACAATAATTATAAAAATATATTGTGCCGTTTGTAATATATGTAAGTGCAAAATATGTCATTGGATTCTTGGTTGAGGTTTTTATCTTTCTGCACTTTGAATGTGCCATCTAGCTGCTTTCTAGCCTCCATTCCTTCTGATGAGGAATCAGATGTTAATCTTACTAGGGTTGCATTGTACATGATGTGTTGCTCTTCTCTTGCTGCTTTCAAGATTTTCTCTTCATTCTTGGTTTTCAACATTTTGATTATAATGTCTCCAGGTCTAGATCTTTTTGCATTTATCCTACTTAAGTTCAACAAGCTTCTTGGATATGTAGATTAATGTGTTGTTTTGTTTTCTGTTTTGGCTTTTTTTTTTTTTTTTTTGGCCAAATTTGTGATATTTTCAGCTGTTTTTCCTTTGTATAGTTTTTTAGCTCCTTTCTCTTTCTCTCATCTTTCTGGGATTCTCATTACACATATGTTGGTACACTTCATGGTGTCCCACATTTCTCTGATGCTGTTTATTTTTCCTCATTCTTTTTATCTCTGTGCTGCAATTGCATAATCTCAATTTATATTTGAATTCACTGATTCTTTTTCCAACTCAAATCTACTGTTGAGTTCCTCTTTTGAATTTTTCATTTTACTTACTGCGTTTTTCAACTCTACAATTTCCATTATCTTTTTAAAATAATTTCTATCTTTATCAGTATTTTCTATTTGATAAAACACTGTCATAATACATTTCTTTAATTCTTTAAATATTGTTTCCTTTAGTTCTTGGGACATATTTATAATAGCTGTTTTTTAATTCTTTGAACTTTTCTGCTAAGTCCAATCTCTGGGCTCCCTCAAAAACAGTTTCTATTGTTGGCTTTTTCCCTTTACATGGGTCACTCTTTCCCGTTTCTTTGCATGTCTGACAATTTTTTTTTTTTTTTAAACAGGACATGTTAGATAATACATTGCAGCAACTTTGAATATTGATTCTCCCTTACCACTTTTAGGATCTGTTGTTGTTTCCTTATTTTCTTGTTTGTTTGTTTGTTTAGTGATGTAATTGGACTAGTTCAGTTAAGTCTATTTCCTTCAAAGTGTGCAACATCTAACAGCATGCCTCAGAGAGCACAGACTTGGGCATGTACACAGTATTTTTAACTGCTAGGGATAACTGTGGTTTTCTCTTTGACTGTCTCTTTCTCATTGAGACTTTGGGTAGTCTACCTCTGTTGGTATTACATACAACTATTGGCCTCCAACAATTTTTATCTGATTGTTCTATTTTTTTCAACAACTCCCTGCGGCATAATATGCATCACAGTCTAATCCAATTAAAGTTCCTTGAAAGGGGCAGAGTGTTTACAGTCTTTGAAGCTTGCTCCAAATCTGCCCTGGAAGAATGTCTGTCCTATAGATCAGGAGCTGGGGGAAATTAGAAAACTCATTCTTCTCCAGGCACTGCACTAGAGTTCTTCTTATGGTGTAGGAGCTGTGAGGAGAGAAAAGTGGGCAGTAGGAACAGGCACTGCCACAAAGCTGTGCCCACCACCAAGTACACATATTCCACAACCCAGAGCCAGGGAGAATACTAACTACCAATATTCATAGCTGTCAACCTACCCATAATAGTTCTTCCATTCTAGAAAGCTGGGGAAGATGGGAGATGCCACTTGGCTGCTGAGCCAACTGGAATAGTTCTCCTGCAACATAGAGCCATGCAAAAAGTGGGGACTGAATTCTTTACCAACTGCCCCACTTAGATCCTCCCCATATAATGGGAGTTGGGGGTGAAGGAACAGACACTGACGCCTGTTTGCTGGCACCTATTCAATGTACGACTTCCACAGCATGGATCTCTGAAAAATGCTATCACATAATTTTCATGGGCTGCCAAATCCACCCCAAATAAATTTTTTACCCCAGGGAGCTGGGGAAGATGGGAATTGCCACTCATGAGCCCACAGAAATTATCCTCCCACAAGGTAGAGCTGTTGCAGCCACTAGTTCTAATGCAATGTCCTCTCACTGCTCCTATCAAGCTTCCATATTTTTGCTGAATAAATGCTTCTCAGTTTGTTGTAATCCCTTTGGTCAATCTCCAGAGACCTTGAATGGTTTTCTTTGCTAATTTTGACCAGCTTGGTGGATACCTCTCCAGGAGAGAGGTTTCCCCAAACTCCTCTACCTCTGTTCCAGAAATCCCCAGAAGTTCTTGGTATTTTGTGAGGGCAAAACTTAGAGCACAAGGCATCAGTGGCTTCCTTCCCTTACCAGTTGTATAACCTTGGGCAAGTCTTTTAACCTCTGTGAACAGTTTCTCATCTGTAACATAGGATAATCATAGTGCCCACAATTGTTGGGAAGATTCATTGAGTTAATCCTTGTTAGGCACCTAGTCTAGTGCCAAGTTATCATTATTACTATTGTCATTATTTTTAATAATCCACATGAGTTTATAACTTCAGAGTGTTGGAATCACAACCAGTTCACACAATACTTTTGTACAAGTTATAAAAGGCATTTTTCCTCAGGACACTTTATTATTTGTCTTTCAAAGTAATTATAATAATATAATGATTTTGTCAGAATAAGACAGCTTTCTATCAACTTCCAGAAAATTGTTGAAATAAATATACAAATCCACAAATATCTACAATATTAACACCTCCTTTTAAGGTTGGAATGTGCCCAGTCTTGTGGTATGTGGCAGTCTTGTGTGATGATATATGACCTCGCAGAGTGTATTAAAATCATTTTTCTTTCCAACAAGAAAAAAATAAAGGAAATTATTGATCTAGATGTAAATTTTTACTGTAATTCGTAGTGAGCCTATGCATGCAAGTATACCCATATTAACAGTACTGGTTACCTTTAGATGTCAAACATTGAAATTCCTTCATAGTCCATACTTACTGGGCTCACAAGCAGGAGGAGAAGGATCCCATTTGCTATCAGCACCACAATGAATTACACTGCTGCCTGTGAGAGCAAAACCTTTTTGGCAGTTAAACACAATAGCGTCTTTGTAATTATAGATGGGTCCAAATCCAGAGACAATTTCCCCATGTGAAACATCTGGCTTGTGACAGGTGATTTCTAAAGAATCATGAGAAAAGACAAGTGGATTTTAAAAGGTAAATGGTAATAATGATATTATTGCCACTGCTAATCCAGTTACAAGTGCAACACAAATGCCTGATGAATGTTCATGTCAAGTAGATACAAGGGAAACATTTTAAAGTGAATACACATACACAAACATATACATATATAATATGGCTGTATATTTTTTTTTATATATATATATATATGTACTCCTTTTAGTACTAGTTTTTATTGGTGGAGAAGTTGAAGAAGTTATCCACAATTACCTCATAGAAAGACCAATGTGATGAAAACTCATTTTACTGAGGCTTTTAAAAGCTGAAATTATTTATATTATGTTAATAATATATATAATACTATATATTATACAATATAGTATTATAGAATATATAACATTATATTAATAGTATTATATATTATAATTTTATTACATTTGATATAATGTATATTTATATATACATATAAGTATGTGTGTGTATATATATAAAATATGTAATTTCAGCTTTTAAAATGAGTTTTCATTACATTGGTCCTTCTTCGAGATGATTGTGGATAGCTCCTTTAAATTCCCTACCAATAAAAGTCAGTCATACATAACCCAGCAGAAACGTATTTCTAAGGCCCCCAAAACTTTCAATATAATGGCCTAATTTCCTAGATGATTTTGGTTATGGGTCAGTGACCCATAGTAATTACATAGTGCAGAGGCAGCCCAGGGGATCAGAGACCCATTCTCCAACAAGCAGAGAACAAACTGCCCCCTATCCCACACCCCTCACCCGCATCCTGGCAGTCATCCAATCCTGTCAATTCTGCCACTTTAATTCCTCTACAATCCCTTAACTTCTCTCCACCCCACTGCCACGCTACAGCTGAAGTCACCTTCAGTTTTTGGCTGGAGGGTTATACAGTTGCTGTCTTAGTCTGTTCCTGCTGCTATAAGAAAATACTTTTGCTAGTTTATAAATGATGGAAATTTATTTCTCACAGTTCTGGAGGCTGGGAAGTTCAAGATCTAGCCACCATCAGATTCAATGTCTGCTTGCTCTCTCCTTTCAAGATGGTGCCTTCTTGCTGCGTCCTCACATCGGGGAAGGGATGAATGCTCTGTCCTCACAAGACAGAAGGGCAAAAGAGACTAGGGCTCTCCCCTCCACCTCTTTTATAAGGGCACTAATCCCATTCCTGAGAGTGGATCCTTCATGACTTAATCACTTCCCCAAAAGTTCCACCTGTTAAAATGATCACATTGGGTCTCAGGTTTTATCATGAGTTTGGAAGGACACATTCAAGCCATAACAGGTGACTGTCAGTTAAGTTTCGTCCTACTTCAGGTTGTTGTCCCACAGCCAGAGTTATCTTTCTAAAATGCAGCACATTTATTCCCCTCGTCAAAGCCTTTCAAAGTCTCCCCTTCATGATTGTTCTGAGATCCTGAGACTGAAACACAAGGTCCTTCATAACCTGGCCCCTGCCCACTTTTCCGCCCTCAGCTATTGCCACTTCTGATTGTTGCAGATCTAACTCCAGGCATTTTGCACTGTTGGCAGTATCCTGCTCTTTTGTGCCCCTCATCTGATTGTATCCTGTGGTGGGTTAGTAAGCAATATTGTGTAAACTTAGTAGTAAAGTCAGTAAACTCAGATTCCTTAGACTAGCTAACTAATATATGTTTTGACTCAATTATCACTTGCTTTGTCCTGTTGCCCTTCTGGCACTTAGTAGGTTTTGCTTGCCCTACAGGCATATGTGTTTCATCTTATAGGTGCAAATTATATTTTCAGTTCCGCTTCTTGAACAGACTGAGACTACGTTCCCCAGTCCTCTGAGGCTACTTTCTAATTCTAGACAAAAGGCTGGAATGGAAAGTGATATGTGGTTGCTTCTAGGCCAAAGCTCTTAGCCAGGACACAATTGGCCTTTCTCTCTTCTTCTACTGAAGAGACTGTGAAAGCACATTTTGAAATGGAGGTGCCATGAGATCAAAGCAACCTGGCTTGCTGAGCTGGTTGCTAAGCCAGCAAAGACTACAGCTGCCCTGGAGAGTCTCCTGGACATGAAACAAACTTAGTATGAATGAGAATAAACTTTTACTTCACCAAACCAGTGAGATGTTGCTGTCTGTTCCCATATACTGTTAACTCCCAGTTCACTACTCCCATTTTTATGGATTTTATATACTAAAACAACATGCAATAAGTATCAGGTGGCCAAATAAATGATTGCATCCGAGCAATAATTAGTTCATCTTTTAATTTTCCATTTTCCTCCCAATAAATTCACCTTTCTTTCTCTTTTAAACAAAAGAGAGCAAACATTTTGATGCAGAATTCATCATTCTGACTTACTTTCACAGGTAGGAGGACTTGGTCTCCAAACACCTGTTGTTTTATTCTCCACAGTGCAGGAAATGGAGGCATGGCCCAAGAGTGAGAAGCGGGAGTCACAGCTGTAGGTGACAGAAAAGCCATATGTGTAGAAATCTTCTTCACCGCTGTGCCTTCCATTCCTGATGTCTGGAGGGGGTTCACACTTGACAACTGAGGTAAGTGAGGGAAGGGAAAGAAATACTCAGGGAAGGCATCGTGATAAATCTAAAATTCATGCAAATTCTAAGGGAAGGTACACATACCTGTAAAGATGCACAGGGACTTCATTACCTAACAAAGTTTAAATTGATAGTCAAGTCAGAAGATCTTTACTTACTTTCACACTGTGGGAGAGGATGACTCCAGCCAACTCCTCTATCTTGTACTTCACAATGACTAGTGGTTGAGCCAATTAAGACAAATCTAAATAAGATAAATCAAAGATTTTAATGGAATTCCTCCTACCTTAAATTAAATTAAAGAGGTCTGAGTAAATAGAATGGTTACTCCATATTAAAATAAGGAAATCATATTTTCCTGGATATCATTTCCCATTGAGCACTCCATTCAGTAAAATTTCATTACTACAATGAGATGTGTGCGTTTGTTCCTTTGGACCCTCATTCCTTAATCTGTTACTATAAGCATCTACTAGGGATCAGGAATGCAGTTCATCCAGAGCTCAATCAAGCACAACAATAAAAGGCTTGCTTCGGTGTGTTCTGTGGTTGTCTTTGGTTGAGAGTACCAGCTAGATTACTGACTCCACACTCTCCCCATCTTTGGCTCAAAGCTTCCTCTGACTTCCAGGTTGGTGTCTTATTCCCACACATCATTAGCTTTCAGTTCACCACTCCCATTTTTAGGGCTCTTGATACGTCCTACTCTTTCCTCAGTTTGTCTTCCTGCCCTCTATCTTGTGCTAACAGAAAATAAAAAAACAAAAGATATTACTAGAATGATTACAAATTGTAGCATCATGAAGGATATTGATAATCATCAATGATATCAAATTGTAGCATCATCAAGGAATAAACCTACAACGTGATAGAACACTAAAGTAAATGTCACCTTCAGCAATCTAAGAGTCTGTGGAATTTATTGAATAACAACTTCAAGAAAATATATCTTAACTACAACACAATTAAGAATTTCTTTACTTTAAAATTTCTTTAAAATGTAGTTTTTCCAACCAAGCCCAGAGACTAAGTGCAAAATATTGTTTCTGGTTGTTTCAGTGGGAACACCTTAGTGTTCCAACAGCATCTTAATTCTGATTCTTCTCACCTTCGCTTATGAAGCCATACACAATAAGGAAAACAGGAGGTAAAAATGAGAATATCAACAAAAATGAAACAAACAGAAAAGATAAGAGAAAACTAATAGACATAGGTATCAAGCAAAAGAGAATCAACATATACTTAATTGGATAACCTAAAGAAGGGATCCAAACAGAACAAAATAGCTTTTTAAAAATTTATTTCAGGCCAGGTGTGGTGGCTTACACCTGTAATACTAGTACTTTGGGAGGCTGAGGCAGGTGGATTCCATGACACCAGGAGTTCAAGACCAGCCTGGCCAATATGACAAAACCCCATCTATATTAAAAATACAAAAATTAGCCAGGCATGGTGGTGCACACCTGTAATCCCAGCTACTTGAGAGGCTGAGGTGGGAGGATTGCTTGCACCCAGGAAGTTGAGGCTGCAGTGAGCTATGATCATGGTAATTACATAGTAACCACCTGGGCAATGGGAGTGAGGCCTTGACTCAAAAAATATATATATTTCAAGTAAACGTTACTAAAATAAAATAATACTTCAATCTACATATTAAAATTGCACATCACATAGCAGCAAAAAATTAAACCAAGTGATTTCTATCAAAACAACAAAGAGTAAAAGTATTAGGTTTCAAAGATAAAGAATAATATCTTTAGATAGTCAAAGAAAGATCAAGCCGCATGAGAAGAAATTTCAGATCAGTAGTATTCACTAGCAAAAGACAGTGCAGCAGTACCTATAAGACATCCAAGAAAAGAAGGGATGAGCCAAGGACTATATCAAGCCCCATTATCTTCTAGGTATCAATGCCTCAGATATATTATCTGAACCTGGAAGAACTCAAAGAATAATTTTCACTTGGGACTTTTTTTTGGAAACCACCATAGGACAAACTATAGCCAACCAAGAGATGACAATGGCAACTTTAGCCAAAGCAAACAAAAATGGTAGCAAATATTGTACATGCAGATCTGAGACCAAAGCAAATGTGATTTTAAGTGTGACTGAAGGAAATATAAATGCTATATGCTCAGATAGCACTGAAATAGTATAACTAACAAAAAATAGAGATATGGAAGAGAAGGTAAAATAAACTCCCTTATTGCCTGATCATTTGCAAGACTAGGAGTGAAAGCAACCATAGACACATGTGAGTATTTCACATTGATATTAAATGCAAAATAAACACTAAGATAATAAAAATGATACAAATTTACTGGTAGGGAAGATAGAAGGGGTGAAAGCGGGGAAGAACACAAGAAAAGTTTATTGTTGTTTATAAGAAGGAACTAATTTAAACTGTCTAAAGATAAAGAGGAATAACAGTATTATATAAATTTAAATGTATATAGGTCACCACTAGAACCAAATTTTGAACCTTCCTAAACACCACTATATATTTTAATAGAAAACAAATATACACTTACATATGTATTATAAAATATGAAATAATATGACAAAACCAAGTCTATAAGTATCACTCACAGCAATAAATGTAATTACGCTTAAAACTCCTAATGAAAGAAAAACAGCTTTTAGTTGAAGCAAAATTCAGCTATGTTACATACAGGAGACAAACTTAAAAGTGTTTCAGACAGATTAAAAATAAAAGGCAGGATAAAATTATACCAAGCAAATTCAAATCAAAATAAAAGCAAAGATAATAATTTTAATATCCCATAAGTTGGACATCAGAACCAAGATTATTAAATTACACAAAAATGGGTACTTTATATGTTAAAGATTATGATTTTCAGTGAAGAGTTATGAATCTTTATGTAGCAAAATATGTATGTAGCAGCAATTTTAATAAAACAGAAGTACATGAGACATAAGAAAAATGATCAAAATATGCTACTAATTATCGTTAAATTATGATAGTTAAAATAATTATAAAATTATTAATTTACTTTAACTCCTATCTTCATGTTTAAGGTATATAAAGATAAGCATAATAAAAGATTCAAAACAACTTATCAAGAAAGTAGATCTGACTGGGCACAGTGACTCATGCCTGTAATCCCAGCAGTTTGGAAGGACGGGGCAAGAGAATCTATTGAGTCCAGGTGTTCTAGACCAGCCTGAACAACATAGCAAGACCTCATTTCTACAAAAGTTAGAACTTTATCCAGGCATCATGGCACATGCCTGTAGGCCCAGCTACTCAGAAGGCTGAGGCAAGAGGATTGCTTGAGCCAGGGCAGTCCAGGCTACAGTAAGCCAAGACCGCACCACTGCACTCCAGCCTGTGTGATAGAGGGAGAACTTGTCTCAAAAAAAGAAAGTAAATCTGATGTGTATATAGCAAACTCTATATACTAATAATAAAAAAAACTTCATTTCAAGTGCCTGTTGAAATATTAATGAAAATTGATTGTATATTATGATGTGCCCTAAAACCTCTGTAAATTTTAAAACATAAAAATAAGCAACATTCTTGGTTAATCTAGAAGTATTTTTATTTCTTTTATTTTTTTAAATAATTTTTTCATTCTTTAGAGATGGGTCTTGTTACATTCCTCAGGCTGGTCTTGAACTCCTGGGCTCAGGTAATCTTCCCACCTCAGCCTCCCAAAGTGTTGGGATTACAGGTGAGCCACTGCACCTGGCCCAGTCAGTTTGGAAGTCTCCAATGGAGGAATGCTTCCACCATGGGACGCAGCAAGAGTTCCAAAAATTAGAGTTGCCAGATTTAGCAAATAAAAATACAGGGTGCCTAGCTAAACGTGAATTTCATGTAAACAATGAACACATTCTTTAGTTTAAGTGTGATCCAAATGTTGCATGGAACATACACTAAAATTATTTGTTGTTTACCCGAAAATCAAGTTTAACTGGGCATCCTGTATTTTACCTGAAAACCCTAAATTAAGTTTGGAAGTTGAGACCTGTCAACTCTGGACCCTCATGCAAGTGAATGAAAGGCAAAGAAGGATGGTTGGAGTGACTAATCCTGATAATGATGGGAAATGTTAGATTGCTTCTGCACAGTGATGGTAAAAATGAGTATGTTTGGAATGCAGGAGATTCCCTGGGGCGCCTCTTTATACTCCCATGCCCTATAATTAAAATCAATGAAAAACTATAATAACCCAAATCAGGCAGGACTGCTGATGGCCCAGACCATTCAAGAATAAAGGTTTAGGCAACCGCATTGGGCAAGAACCAACGTCAGATGAAGTTCTTGCCGACGGCAAAGAGAATATGGAATGAGTAACAGAAACATGTTGTTATAAATACCTGCTACAATCACATGACCAGTTGCATAAACAAGGACCATAAAAGTTGTGAATGTTTCTTTCTTATTTTAATATAAATAGATATTACACTAATTGTGTTTCTTTACCCCTTTCCTTCCCCTACTGTATAAGATGTGTTAGTAGTGGCTTACCTTACATCTCAGTATTTAAGTTATAGAATATCAAAGGGGAGATATGACTCAGCTCAAAAGGAATTCTCTTTTAGGAAGAATATTTCCATGTTTTCAGTGTATGAGGGATAGTTGCATTATGTTAAATGTGAGTATTATTTTGCTATTGGCTTTATTTGGAAATTAAGCTAAGTATGGTTAAGACTAGTGTATACAAATACCAAATTTGACAAGGGGTGAGCTGTGGTAGATTTATGTTGTGTCAACTTAGCTAAGCTGTAATTATGTTTCCCAGAATTCTCTTCCACACATAATGCCAAGTTAGTATGTCCCATAAAAGATGGTAGATGTGAATTAGTAGAGCCATACTCCATATGCTAGAAAGGTCAGGGCAGAGCACAGGATGTGACTGCAGTTCACAAGCACTGTTGTTTCTCTGTTCCATCACTTTGTTGGCAGAGGGCTCAACCAGGCCACAGCAGGGCCAGCTCCTGCATGATCTCCTCCTTCATGTATCCTGGCTTCTGATCCAAGTACATTGGCACTGTGACGAAAGACAACTTCTACAGGATATACCCATTTTTGAAGTTGAAGGCTAAGGGACAGTGAAAGAACAAGATGAATTCTAGTTTACAATGGTGGGCTTTACTCACTCATCTTTGCAGATTCCAGTTTGTCCTTGAAGCACTCAGTTCATGTCTATCTTCCCTTCCTGACTCCCTGCCCTGCTGACTTCAGGCCACAGCAACAGACATTGAAGGAACAGCCTCCTGTACACACCATTTAACTATCTCCCACACCTACATCAAGTCATGTCCCTACAATAAATCCTGTGGTTCTATTTCTCCAGGTAAATCCTGACTGACATAATTAATGTAAGTAGACAAGAAAAAGAAATTGGAAATCTAAAAATTGGAAAGTAGAAGGTAAAAGAATCATTGAAATGATGTGATTACAAACCAGGTAATCCTAAGAGATTTCAACTGAAAGAATTTTTTTAAATTTTTACAAATAATATGACGTGGTTTTGCTGTGTCCCCACCCAAAACTCATATTGAATTGTAGTTCCCATAATCCCCATGTGTCGTGGGAGGTAATTGAATCATGGGGGCAGTTACCCCAGTGCTATTTTCCTGATAGTGAGTGAGTTCTCATGAGGTCTGCTGGTTTTATGAGGAGCTTTTCCCCCTTTACTCAACACTTCTCCTCCCTGCCACCATGTGAAGAAGGTGCCTTTCTTCCCCTTTGCCTTCTGTCGTGATTATAGGTTTCCTGAGGCCCTCCCAGCCATGTGGAACTGTGAGTAAATTAAACCTCTTTTCTTTATAAATTACCCAGTCTTGGGTATTTCTTCACAGCAGCATGAGAATGAAATAATGCATAATACAAAAATTTAGAAAGTTAGCTGGGTTATCAAACTAACATGCAGAAATCAATAGTAGATAGATGATTGATTGATAGATAGATAGATCGATAAATAGATAGATAGATAGATAGATAGATAGATAGATAGATAGATAGACTAGTTACAATATAAAATGGATAAATAATCCATTTAAAATACCAAAAACATTTTTTGTTTGGTTTTTGCTAGAGGTTTAAACTCTTCAAGAAATGCAAAATCTCTGTGAGGAAAGCTGAAACACAGATGAAGAAACAAGGAAAAAAAAAGACGAAGATGAACAGAGGGAAGAATAGCAAAGGGTAGCAGAATAAGCCAAAACAGACCACTTTGGCATAAAGATTGTTTTCTGAGTTGAAAGCAATTGAAACACAGCAAGATGCAGGAAGGCACTCTGATCTCCCCTTTTCTTGCTGAAGGCAGGAGATGAAACTCACAGGAAAGATACTTTCCCTATACCTGAAGGAAAAGAACACTCTTAACACCAGAGGCAGGGAGTCAAGGCCAAGAGATATCTGTATAAAGAAAGTTTGTACAGAGACCACTTTTTGGGTCTTCATTTCCCTGTGAAGATTCCCATGTACTTATTAAATTAAAACCTGTGTGCTTTTCTCCTGGTAATCTGTTTCATGTCAACTTAATTCTCAGACCTGGTGGAGACCCTAAGAGGGTAGAGGAAACGTTTTGCCTTCTCTACAGTAACATATTCTTATCTAGAGAGAGTCAACATTATAAAATACCTATTCTCCTAAAGTTAATTTTATTAATCTATTTTTCGAGATGAGGTCTTGCCCTGTCACCCAGGCTGTAGTGCGGTGGCGCTATCATGGCTCTCTGCAGCCTTGAACTCCCAGGCTCAAGTGATCCTCCCACCTCAGCCTGTTGCACAGCTGGGACTAGAAGTGCGTGCCACCACACTCAGCTAATTTTTTTAATTTCTTGTAGAGACAAGGTCTCCGTAGGTTGCCCAGGCTCATCTGGAACTCCTGGACTCAAGCGATCTTCCCACCTTGGTCTTCCAAAGTGCTTGGATTACAGGTGTGAGCCACTGTGCTTCACATAAAATTAATTTTAAAACTAATCTAGCACTGATTTTAAAATATGTCTAACTTTAAAGTTCTTATAGAAAAATACGTACTGTCGGGAAAACTTCAGAAAAGAAGAGTAATAAGATAGCACTACCCATATTGGCTATTAAAACATATTATAAAGCCTCAACTATTAAATGACTGTGAAACTTGTACATAAATGTACAGAAAAAATAATGGCATTGAATAGGAAGTCCAGAAATAGACCTAGATAAGTATATGAATTTTATATAGTATCAAAGAGCATCCCAAATCAGTAAAGGCGAACTTTTAAATAAGTGGTGTTGGGACAATAGGAAAGCAATATGAAAAAATATGGTCTAAAATCTGTACCTCATACTACATACTGTACATTAACTCCAAATAAATTAAAGCTTTGAACATTAAAAAATATGAAAATATAAAAGTAGAGGAAATATAGGCAATTATTTTTAAACCTTATATTGGGGGAAGGCCTTAAGACATAAAATCCAAAAGCCGTTTCTAAAAGGGAAATTGATTAATTTAACAACATAGATACAAATAATTTCTCCTTAAGGGGAAAAAATACCAATAGCCAAGTCAAAAACATTACACATATATATATACACACACACACACACTCCCCCCCACACACACACACACAGAGTGGGAAAAGTTACAGTGTATATTAGAATTAAGGCCTAAATCCTGCTATGCAGAGACTCATGTGTATGTATAAATGTATATATCCTAAAACTTAAGAATAAAAAGTTCAACAAGTTAAGCAAAAAAAAAAAAAAACAAAAACAAAAAACAAACAAAACAAAAAAAAAACAGGCATCAGACATGCTAACTAGTGCACAAATAAATACAAACATCCCTTGGACATAAAAAAATATACTCAACCTCCCTGACAAAAAGAGAAATGTACATTGAAACTATAGTGAGATTTTATTTTCACCTCTTACATTGGGAAAAATTCAAAAATTTGACAAGTTTTCAAAAGTTTGACAACACAGTTGGAGAGTTTATGGAGAGACAGACATTTGCATACTCTGCAAAACATGAAACCCTTAGGGAAAGCAGTCGGAGGATATCTTTTAAATTTTCAAATATACATACTCTTTGAGCCAGGGAAGCCTCCTCTAGGAAGCTACCCTTCAGATGTAACTACATATGACATACATACAAGAGAATACGTCAGAACATTGTTCAGAATAGCAAAAGATTGGAAACATCCATGGATCCATCAAAGGGATGGTGAAGCCATGACACAACTACACAACAACATTCTATGCAATTGTAAAAGGAAATTAATGAGGAAACTCTCTACGCAAAACCATGGAAATATCTCCAGTATACATTGATAAGTAAACAATAAAGCAAGATTCAAAACTAGGTTCATTAGAGGAAAGGGGGGAAAATAAGAATATATGCTAACTTCTTAGTTTGTATTTGTATAAGGAAACACTAGAAAGATACATAGGAACCAATAAAAATAGATCTTTGCTTGAGGACAGGAAGGAATGGGACGTATGAAGATAGGATGGAAGTGAGGATTCTCAACGTCTATCTTTTTACATCATTTTAAATTTTGAAATATATGAACACTTCAGCTACTTTTTAAATAAAGGTAAAAGAATTGTTCATAGATTACCTCACACTCACCCTTCTGAACAGCTAAATTCTATTTCTGATCCAAAAAGTAAATCTGTCTTAATCTCCACATGCCCATTAGGTAAATCTCCTGGGTTGCTGCATCGTTTGTCTGGGAGAAAAATTTAAATGATGATTAGTACTTCCAAGTACTCACAGATACAGCATAAGAAAAGAAAAGAAATTAACCAAGGTTCACTTCTGCTTCCAGAAACACGGAGAGATTTAAATTCAAACTTATTTCTAACCCTGACTCACCTCAAAATTAATACAAAATTTGATCTCGTTTTTTTCTGGTACATTTTACCAATAGAGAAAAATGCCCAGTTAACTCATTGCAGCAGTAGAACACGTGGTCCAGGACTTAATAAGCTGACCAGGGATGGGAGAGCTTTGCTTCATTCTATGTCTATGGCATGTACTTAGAACCTAGGCCACTCCAAAATGTATGTCACAAAAGGAACAAAAAAGAGAAAGCATCGATTGTATACCCCTACTATTGGAAAACACTACAGAATGCATTCCCAACTGACAGTGAATCATAACTTTTCTTCAAAACACAGCAAATATTTTGAGTAAGGTTCTTTTGAAAACTGCATTGCCACTTTCTAGCCACCTACCTTTTTATAATTTTTTAAAAAGTGAATTTGATTTTCAATGTATCATAATGAAATTTGTGGTTCATTTCTCAAAAGAAGTGTTTGGTGGATTACTTTATAAAGAATAGACTTCTGACCAGGCCCAGTGGCTCACACCTGTAATCCCAGCACTTTGGGAGGCCGAGGTAGGCAGAGGACTTGAGGTCAGGAGTTTGAGACCAGCCTAGCCAATATGGTGAAACCCTGTATCTACTAAAAACACAAAAATTAACCAGGTGTGGTGGCGCATGCCTGTAATCCCAGCTACTCAGGAGGCTGAGGCAGGAGAGTCACTTGAAACCAGGAGGCAGAGGTTGCAGGGAGCCAAGATTCCACCACTGCACTCCATCCTGGGAGACAGAGCTAGACTCCATCTCAAAAAAAAAAAAGAATAGAGTTATTTTTCAGTGAAACTAACTACCCCCAATTTTTCTGTTTTGCTTTGTTTTTCAAAAAATGCCACAAGTATGTACATTGAAATCAGTAATTGACAAACTGTCTTCTTGGTGACAAAAGATTCAGAAAATTTAGTTTCCAAAGATAAGAAAAGCACAAATGAAAAAAATAAATGTTGATACTCACGGACACAGAAGGTAGTATACGTCCATTGGCCATCAGAATTACAGGTAAGCATCTGATCGGAATGGGATCTGGCATAGCCAGGGCGGCATGTGTATTTCAGAGTAGTTCCAGTTTCAAAGTGTGTCTCAGTCAACGTAGTAATATTCACTGGGGCAGCAAACGATAAAGTGGGTGGAGGATCACAATTGCCTGGACACCAAAATGACAAGGAGCACCAAAAATTATACCTTGGGACACAGTGTCTTATTGTTTCTGTGGTATGATGTTTAGAGCAGGGATCATTCTTTTCACCTCTAGTCAAGAAAAATCGTAACTCCATTATACTCTCTGTTCAATACACCTAGTGAGTGATCAGTAATATATGTTTATTCACAAAAGATAATGACAATGATAACAATAAACAATAATGATAAAAGGCAGAATTTTTATCCCTTCTCTACTACACCTGGGATAATTTATCTGAAAAAGAAGAAAGACATGAACTTCACCAACCTATTGATTCCCCATATCTGCTGACTCAAATGCATCTGTGCAAAGTCAGAAGTCCCTGCAAGTTGCCTCAACAGAAACATATTATTGTATTAAAAATAACTTTACATAATATTGGTTGCCTCAGGGAAGAGAAACAGGGTGGCTGGGAAATGGGTAAAAATAACATTTTTAATCTATGTTTTTTTACACCTGTTTGATTTTGAATGATATGGAGGAAGAAGCAAGGAGCCCTTGAAGCATAAAAATCTTAACTTTGCTTTCTTTGCAAGAATTAAATACCAGGCTGATTTACTTTTTAAGCACCCCCTGAATAAACCCACAGGCAGTGAAAATTGTTTAGTCATAGTGATAGATAATATAGATCTGTTCAGGTTATGGTTGGGAGAGAAATTCTTTCCTGGAGAAATAAAAATTTAGGGGAAAATGTCTAGAACACTATTTCCTTTATGTGTAAAGCAAATTTCCCTAAGTTCTAGCCTGTCAAATAAACCACTTGTTGATGAAGCTGGGTCTCTACTAGAAACTCAGTCATCATTTTTTTTAGCCTTAAAAGTGAATGCACAGGTGATCTTGATTGTTTGTTGCCGATCTGGGCTTGTTTCCCACTACTCACCAAGAATAGCAGGCAACAGAGCAGCGACCAAGGTCATTTGGAAGAGAATTGGATCAGAGACTTTCCACAGCCTGGAGAAGGGCCAGGCTGCCATTTTCCCTTTTCTATGAAGAGCCCCAGATGGAGTTCTTGAGGGGCACATGGCCTTCTGCTTCGCTGATTTTTTCTGCTGAAAGAACTCAATTTAATAAATAGTCATTGAATTCTCACTTGTCATAAAGCACTAGAATAAATGTTATGGGATCCATGTCTGCAAGGAAATGACAGCCTGGAGTGGAAACAAAACAACACAAACCCCTGAGCACAAATGTTGCAGCACAAGACAGTAAGGATTGGCCTCTGCAGAAGCTCTGTGTTCAGAAGAGAGATTGATTCCAAGTGGAGGGAGGGAGCGGGCTTTGCAGAGGAGACTGCGTCTGCACTAGGTATACTGAAGACATTGGAGAATGGATGCAGGGCATGTTGAGGGAACAATAGATAATACTCCAATTTGTCTAAGAGTCTGAGATGGGGAAGGGACAGTTTACAGATGTGTCTGAATGGGATGTAAAGGTCAAGTTTAGGAAATGCATAGACTTTACTCCTTGGGGAATAAAAGTGCTTGTTTTTTATGTGAGTGTTTGTTTTTAAGCTGAGGAATGACACGATTATTATGCTTTAAGATCATTATGGCAGATGTGCACAAGACAGATTGAAGGGATTAGAGGAAAGAAACAGGGAGGTTGAGTGAGAAGACTTGCAATTGGCCAGATGATCTGAATAAATAAATGGCAGAGGAGTTAGAGGAAAGGTACAAACATAAAACAAAACAAAACAAAACAAACAGGCAGGAAAATGATGGGATAGAAAGAGTTGAGTCGCCATATAGAAGTATTGGGAGTTCCTTGTGAGAACTATTGACAAAGGCAATAAACCATCAAGCAATTCGCAGTTTTGAAAAATGATCATACACACACACACACATATATGAAAAATATACGTGGTAAACGCACTTTTATTTTTAAATCAGACTATATAAAGATGTGTTTAAAGCAAAATTAGTAAGGACTTTTTTGTTCATTCTTCACCACCACTTCCCTTTCCCTTTGGAGAACACAATATATCCTAAGTTTGCATTAGAAAAAAGTCCCTTTCCTTTGAGTAGATACTCAATAGTGGGAATGCTGGATCAAAGGGGAGTTCTATTTTTAGTTTCTTGAGAAATCTCTATACCATAAATCTATAAAAATAAAAAGAAATTAAAAAAAGAAATAGTGCTTATCTTCAAAGGAATATATGAAGTTAACCAAATTCACTCCTATCAAATAGTGAATTTCATCTTTTACTTTGACAGCTCTGTTAGATCCAGATGGCTGGCCACTCTCATGCATCCATAATTCATACAAAGCCCATATACATTTAGGTAAAGGGAGTCCCTTCAGTATTTCTCCCCAAGATGTTTCAGTCCCACATAATGTAGGACTGTCATGTTATGTAATGTACATCTAAGGTAATGTTCAGTCCCTCAACATAAAGCTGGTCTCAGTAATATGGGACAGTCTTACATAATGTAGGACTGAAACATCTTGGAGAGAAACTGTGTGGGAGAAGGGAAGTTGATAGTGCCCTTCATACTTTGTGGGATCTAATTTCTTCCTTGAGTAAAGACTTACATAAGCCTCTTATCTTTCTAAAACTCAGTTCTAATGAAGCCATCCCTCTACCTGTTGTCAGCTGTGGGACCCCATTCACACATGTCCTGTCCCATGAGCTCTATACATCCCCACCAGGGTAACTCTGCCAGTACGTAAATTCACCTAACGAGCAATTTACCAGCTGTAATCACTTACTGGAAATGTGTTCACAGACTTTGTACTGAATGAATCCAGGTGATCTAAAGAGGTTGGGAGGAGCCAGGACCAACATTCTGGGCCTTCATGCTTCCCCTTCTACCCAGTTTCCCCTTCTCTTTTCCCATTTTCCTCCTTCCTAACTCTACGCTCCTCTCTGCCCTCAAAATCTTGTGAAGCTGGAGACAGCTGAGAGCCAGGCAGGGTGCATATCATGAAAACCACCTCACTCATCATCTGTGAAATGTGTAAAATGTGACAAATTTCTCCCACCCAATAAGATATGTTATGAACTATGAAAACTATGGGAAAAAGTTTCTTCAATTTTTGACAATGAGTAGATTTGTTGTGTTTATTGAATTTCAGTGAAATTGAAGAAAGAGATTAAAAATATCAGTGGGTTGGCAAAACAGAATCTGACTATGAAAAATCAAAAGGATAAGAGTATAAAGTGGAAATTTCCCATAGGAATTGTTGCAGTTGTTACTACATTCACAGGAAAAATACATGTGTTGAATATGTTCAGAAAAATATTTATGACTATATAAAAATACAACCATAAGATTAAATCATTAGCTTCAAGAAGTTGAACAAAAGTATCTTAAATGCTGCTAAAATATATATTCATTAGCTACAGTCAAAAAGAATATATTTATACTCATTGAATATTCAAAATGAATATTTTTTCTTTTTCATTTCTAAAATTATAATGGAGGTGTGATCTTACTATGTTGCCCAGGCTTGTCTCAAACTCCTGGCTTCAAGCAATTCTCCTGCCTCAGCCTCCCAAAGTGCTGGGATTACAGGCATAAGCCACCGTGCCTGGCCTCCAAAATGAATATTTCTTAAAACAATGTTAGGTAAATTGATACTTTGATAAATTCAACAAATTTATTTCTATGAACTGAGCCTTCAGGAACTGGCATTCACTCAATTGGCTTTGATGACTAACTTTTCAGTATTGTGGCCTGACCCCCTAGGCTCCAGTTGTCCTGGACAACCAGAATTCCTTATCATTCCCTGCACTTTCCTACCTCCCATTCCTGTCCACATCATCTACCCTCTCTCTTTTTCCTCTTTAATTCCCACTCATTCTGCCAGTCCCTTCTCCAGCATTCCCTCCTATCCAAGCAAGCCTCCACATACCAAGTACAATTTTGTATTTATAACCCTGATTCGGACTTGGTCTGTAACTCACATCTGAAGTCTGCCTTCACCACTAAACCACAAGATCCTTGAAATTACAGAGTATGCTCCCATTTATTTCTGCCCCACAGTAGCACCTAGCCTGTGCCTCATGAAGTTAAAGAGATCAAAAAATGTGCATTGAATTTAAATCCAAAGGCTCTAGTGATAAAATATGTTCCAAAGAAAAGTAGTACTGTGCCACATCCGCATCTCCCCTTACGGTGTATGCTTTGTTAAGGACTGATTTTACCTGATTGTAAAGCAAGGCAAACACCTGTATTTTAATGTGAACAATGAGAACTGGCCCAAGAAATTTTACTCTAGGCTCTTCCATTCTTCAACCGAAGTCATCATATCATCAGCTAGTCAAGGGAGGACAGTGAAGGAGGGAAGGAGTAAGCAAAAACCAGTTCTCCTCCTTCCACAGGTTATGACAGGAGACACAGAAAAATGCAGACGCTACACTGTGATGAGGAAGTTGTTTCACTCCCTTTGCTTCAGCCTCACACCTAGGCCACGGCCACAGAGCTGGGGACAGAGGAGGACAGTGTGGCCAAGACCTTGGGCATGGGCTCTGGAGTCACACCCAGAACATATGAGTTGGCCTCCTGGTTCTACCACATGGGAACTGAGTCCCATGGGTAAAACACTCAGCTCCTCTAAGCCTCAGTTTCCTTTATTACAAAATAAAAAGGATAACTGTCATTGCATCTTGGAATTTCTGAGAGGGGCTTGGCATGGTGTGTGGACGGCACATAGTAAATATTCAAAAGAAATGATAGGGAAGAGTTTCATAGAATTGGCATTGGAATGTCACTCTGTCATAAGCCAAACTCCTAGACGTTAAAATACTATCATCATAATGATTTAAAATTGCACTAAATGGTTGCATCACCAGGGACTTTAATTATACCCCCAGTGCAGAGAAACATCCACTGAACTTCTGGCTAGAAGCCCTGGGTCTGGTCTCCACTGTGGCCTTTGGTACAGTGAGATCCAATGTGTCATGCAGAGCAGAGGGATGCTGGCACCCCTGGGGCTGTCCTGGGGCTTTGTCTTCCCTTGCCCTCAGCTGTCTTCCTGGAAGGAAGTCATCCACGTCCATGACTTTAATTACCATACATGAATCACCCACAGGCCAGGCACGGTGGCTCACGCCTGTAATCCCAGCACTTTGGGAGGCTGAGGCAGGCAGATCACGAGGTCAGGACTTCGAGACCAGCCTGACCAACACGGTAAAACTCCGTCCCTACTAAAAATACAAAAATTAGCCAGGTGTGGTGGTGCACACCTGTAATCCCAGCTACTCAGGAGGCTGAGGCAGGTTAATCGCTTGAACCCAGGAGGCGGAGGTTACAGTGAGCTGAAATCACACCACTGCGCTCCAGCCTGGGTGACAGAGAGACTCCAACTCAAAAATAAATAAATAAATAAATAAATAAATAAATAAATAAATAAATTGATCACCCACAGACCTCTGGGCCTAATTGTCTCTGGTTCATGCAAAAACTTCCATGCTCCATAAATTCAATTGTTAATAATTATTTTATTCTGTCTTATTCCTTCCTCAGTGTAAGTTTTAAGCTATTCAGGCTTGTCTTCTTTACTCTGGTTGCTAACTAGTTCAATTCTGGTGCTCAAATTAGGTCTTTCTAAAGGCAATGAAATAAATCTCTATAAAATGAAGGGAACTCTTTTCCTCTGCAGCTGCGAAAAAGCAGATGATAATCTACATGACAAAACTGACCTTGCAAATGTTTTTTCTAACAAAGGAGTCATTCCTGGATTTTAGAGATGGTTGCTCTGCCACATGACGGTAACTTTTAACCTTAGAAAAGTGTAATTCTGACTGGTTATCTTAGTGAATTTTTTTTTCTGGAATAATATTTAGATGAACATTTCTGTTTACTGGAAGTTATAAGTGCTTGTGAGTTTTCCTTGCCAAATCCAGAAATAATTATTACACTTTCCTCTTCACCTGCAACCTTGAAAGTAAACTAAAACTTTTGACTCTGTTAGATTTCTCATTTAAGCAAAAAAAAAAAAAAAAAAAAAAAAAAAAATTAGTTAAAATTCCCACGGTTCAAATCAGTATTTCCAATCACTTCATTTGTATCTCCCAGGCACCTTGAATTCAACATATTTCAAACTAAATTCACTATGTTCCTCCAACACTACTTAATATCTGTGCTTTCTGTCTCAGTGAAGGTGACAATCTCCACCCAGCCTCCCAGACTAGAAATCCAACTCATTATTGCCTCCTCTGTCTCACCTTCTTGCACTATTCAGAGTCGTCAAGTCCTGTCAAGTTGGTCATAGCAGCAGCACCAGAATCGGCCACTCTCTCGTACACTCCACTTCCATAGTCCAGGTTTAGGTTCCTATAATTCCCTTCCCCTCACTCTAGATCACTGCAAAAGCCTTCAAACATTTATAAGCCAGCTTCCATGTTGATGCCATTATGTCCCTAAAAAGCAATTTACATGTTGTCACTCTGCTTAAAAACTTTCATGGTTCCCAGTTTGCATAGGTTCCCATATCTGCCCCAATTTTCCCATCATTTCTCACTTAGAACACCATGCTTCAGTCTCAAGGAGACACTTACCCTTCCCCAAAGACATTCTGGGTTTTTTTGTTTGTGTGTGTGTGTGTGTGTGTGTGTGTGTGTGTGTGTGTTTTGTTGAGACTGGGTCTCGCTCTGTGTCACCCAGCCTGGAGTGAAGTGGTGCAATCACAGCTCACTGCAGCCTCAACCTCCTAGGCTCGAATGATGCTCCCACCTCAGTCTCCCCAGTAGCTGGGACCACAGGAGCGTGCCACCACACCCAGCTAATTTTTTAATTTTTTCTAAAGACAGGGGTCTCACTATGTTGCCCAAGCTGGTCTTGAACTCCCGGCCTCAAGTGAACCTCCCACCTTGGCCTCCCAAAGTGCTGGAATTATAGGCATGAGCCACCACACACAGCCAGGATTTTTTTGAAAAACATCTGCAAGCATTTGCAGTTAATGGCTCACATGCATTAATGCTCTTACCTCCAACTTCTCCTTTATTCACTATTCTTTTATTCACTATTCAGATCAAATGTCACTTCCTTGGTGAAGCATTGCCTGACTTCATCATGAGATGCCAATGTTTTCTGTTCTTCCAGTACTTGGCTAATACCTTAATTGAAACATTGCTTTGTATCATAACTGTCTATTTGCTTTTGCCTCCTGAAATACACTGTGAATTCCTTGAAGACAAGGAAGGTGCTTATTCAACTTTCCATCTCTAACGTGGTATTGTAATTGATCTATACAATCCCGTGACTCCTTTGTTAGAACAAACATTTGCAAGGTCAGTTTTGTCACACAGATTATCACTGGCTTTTTTGCAGCTGCAGAGGAAGAGAAAAGAGTTCCTCCTTATTTTGCAGAGATTTCTTTCACTGCCTTTAGAAAGACCTAATTTGAGCACCAGAATTTAACTAGCTTAAAATTTATACGGAGGAAGGAATAAGACAGAATACATAACAATAAATCTAAAAGGAATGAAATTCAATTTAATTTATCTTTAGAATGAGAATGACTGTCTCACTGAGAACCAAATGAAATAATGTGTGTGAAATGCTTTGTCAGTTTTGAAGAGAGATAGTACAGTGACTAGACTTCCCTAACAAACCATCAGGTTGCATCCTAACTCTTCTCCAACTACAGCGTTTGCAGTTCACCATAACTACTCCTGATGGTCCCTCAGCAGAAACCAGCTGGCCACAGAGTATGGGAATGGAGGCTAGAACTTGCGAGCTGAGAAGACCCAAGTTGGAGTTCCAGCAATACCACATACTAAGTCTGTGATCTTGAAGAAGCTATATCAGCTTCTTGAATATCAGTTTCCTCCATCTCTGAAATGATGACATTAAACCTAGATGAACAAATTCTGCAATTCTGTAACTGCTCACCGAAAAGCTGAGGCTACTCTAGCAAACGCTTTCATATTTCAAGGACATCATCTTTTAAATTCCTGCCGAAATGGAACCAACTCAAGAACTTCAGTCAGTATGCTGGGTCCCTTGTGAAAAATACTATTAGCACTTAGCAATGCAGTACAATTTGAGAGACACTGAAACAGCCTTTAGTCCTCAAATTTCTCCCTCCATGAGAAGTTACTTTTTAAATTAAGATATTTATTTCGTCTAACTTCCCCCTTTTAAAATGCAGATACCTTGTGAAAGGATAATATTTTTCTCCAGTCTCGGGCTGAGTGTCTTCCTCCTTACACCTAGGCTCTCAATTATATCATTTATAAACTTCAGAAAAAACTTGCTTCCACACTTTCCCACCCTTCTTAGAATCTCTTTTTGTTTTGTTTTGTTTTTGGCGGGGGGAGGGGGTTGTTTTTCGTTTTTTGTTTTGTTTTGTTTTTGAGATGGAGTTTCACTCTTGTTGCCCAAGCTGGAGTGCAATGGCATGATTTTGGCTCACCCCAACCTCCACCTCCCGGGTTCAAACTATCCTCCTGCCTCAGCCTCCCAAGTAACTGGGATTACAGACATATGCCACCATGCCTGGCTAATTTTGTATTTTTGGTAGAGACAGGGTTTCTCCATGTTGGTCAGGCTGGTCTCGAACTCCCAACCTCAGGCAATCCACCAGCCTCCCGAAGTGCTGGGATTACAGGCATGAGCCACCGCGCCCGGCCAAATCTCTTTATTTTTCTATCAGCTCCTTTATTCTGTGCTCATACTACATTCAAACATATCTCTAAGCTTAATGCCAACCTTCCTTGATGCTTCTGCCTCTTCTGTAGTCTAGTTTTTATTCTCTTGGTGTTACCATATTTAGAGATAGAATGGGATTCAGCAAAGAGACAAGTGGTTGAAGAATTAAAATGAGGACCAGAATGGTACTGTATCCTGGTCAACCAAGGAAGAAGAGAATTTCAAGAAGGAAGGGTTATCAGCATCATCAAATTAAGAAAGTAAAGAAGGTGAGGATGACTAAGCCTGCTAGCTTCAGAGACCAACTGGAGGCTGGCCAGTGTCCTCCTTATTACCAAATCTAAACATCTTTGCTGTCAATGGTGGAGGAGATTTGGAGTGGTTAATCAAATCTCAGAAAAAAAGAAATGGCCCCAGTTTTCAGAATGTAGACTACGAGAAGCAGGCTTCCTGTGAACCCTTTGAAAACTCTGGTTGACCCCTTGCCTCAACTCTCTGATGTGGGAAGATGGTGAAAGATCAACCAACCAACCACTACACCTGTTTTTTTAGATACAGTAACAAGAGCAACACCTTACACCTCTTCTTCTTTAGCTTATTTTATTAGAATGCAATATTATTCCTCCATTTATAATTTTCAGATGGAGTTAAAGTACTTTTCAAGTCATACATCCCCCTAATATAGTGATCCTGAAAAGATTTCTGCTGAAAACACCTCCAAGCTTTTGTCTCTGTTTTATCCTTCTAATCCTGCACTCCTTAAAGGGGCAAACCACCAGCCTTTCCTCCAAGCTACCCCAAGGGTTTAGTAGTCCACCAACCTTTGGTAGTTAAGGAAGAGCAGAAGACTCTGTGATGATATCTTGGATAGTTTCTCAAAGAAGAAAACTGATTTGATCTATGTAGTCCTGGTTCCTGCCCAGATCAGAGTTTATCATAATACCCTGAAGTTGATTGGTAATTGCTCCACCAAAAAGTCCCTGAATGTCAACCATACAGTTGGCTGGTCAGGGATGGCTGGATGGAAATAGATGGGCAGAAACTTTTGATAGGCCCAATGAATGATTAACAGCAGAAATAAAGCAGCACTGTTTACCTAAGCTCCTTCCTCTTTGCTAGTCCTCATTCTTCATAACATGTTGCAATCGTTTATTTTCTCCTTTGCCAACCATTTCCCCTAAGTGGAAAGGTAATTGAAGCCAGAATTCTTTTTTCTTTTCGTAAACACACAAGGGTTGTGCAAGTCACAGTCCAGCTAGCCTGGAAACCTTAGATACTGCGAGGTTCAGACAGGCTCCGCAAAAATGATCCACTTTCCATGACACTAGGTCCAGTAGGTTTTCCTGGAGTTTGAGAACTGATATTCTTGCCCAGAGCTTGTCTCTGTCTCACCCCAAGGAATTACAAAAGGTGGGGAATTTATCAAACATGTATTGGGTTTCCACTATGTGCTGAGTTATCTAGAACATATTCAGAGTTAAGCAAACGTTAACTACTACTACATGTCAGGCACCAGAGGGTCTCCAGAAATTGATCTATCCAGTGTGCTCAGAAGAACACAATGAAGGACCAGCCATGTTTCTTCTCACATAGATCTAAAAAGACCACAAGCACTGACATTGTCCAATTAAGCTACTAATCCTCAAGGTTAAGATTTGTGTGCTCAGAAGACTTATTAAAAGGCTATTCTTTCTGAGAACTTCACTTTTTCTGTAATAAATATAAAAGACCAAGAAGAGTTTCCGAAAAGGAGCTAAACTACAACAGGTTGAGTTAATCAAGGAAGTTTTTACAGAAGATGTGACATTTGCGTAAAAGGTAGAAATTATTAGATAAAAGTGGTAAGGATATTAGACGTAAAGAAACCATGCACTATGTCACCAAGGTGAGACGCTGATTTGACAAGAATGAACATAGAGGAGGATTCCAGATTGCACAGTCTTGAGCACTAAATTGGAAGAAATACCACCTTTAAAGCTGCTATTTCTTTAAAGTACCGTTTCCCAATGTACTGAAGTCCTTTCGTTTACTTTCCACAGTGACACTTGCAGATTTTTCTCTCCAGATCACCAAATTGTCACATTCCCTCTCAGCAGATGCTCTTACCTCCTACTTTACTAAAAATCATTCTACCTTAGCTTTATCAGTGTCAAATTTTCCCTCCTATTCACTCCTCATTCAGAGGAGAGTTGTTTCTTCTCTTCCTGCCTCATTTTCAATGCATCTCTCATCCTGAAATGTCCCTTCAATTTTGCCAATACTGTAAATTCCACTTTTCTTCTTTAGTGTGATGCTCAACTTCTCAAAGGTATGGTTTATTCTACCTGCCTGTTCTTCCTTATTCATCACTCCACCTGTTGCTTTCCCATCTGGCTTCTACCCACTCTTCTACTGACATGTCTCTCTGAGGCATGCCCTTAGGTCCAAGTCCAAAATACCTTTAATTCATTTCTTATGATCTGTCTGCAGCCTTTGTCACTGCTGATCATTTCCTTTCTGAAACTCTTCTCCTTTGGCTTCCATGACACTAAATTTTCCTGATTCCTTTAACTTAATTGATTTCTCTTTCTTAGTTATTGTTACCTCCTCTTCCTCCTTCTCATTCCTAAATATAGATATATCTCAGGCTCTTCTTTTAAAAAAAAATTATCTTCGCAATTTTAATGATCTTGCTTTCTGTCACAGCTTTGACTATTACCAGTAAGAAGACTAGCCAGCACTACATTATTTCTGATTACTCTCCCAAACTCAAGACTTACTTTCTTGGGTCTATTTATTGCCCACTGGACATCTTACAAGCACTTTACCCTCAGCACATCCGAAGAGGAATTTCTCATTTCCTGCAAACAAGCTTCACTTTCTGACCCCAACTTTTTCTGACCTCTGGTTCTCAGGAATAAAATTTCAGATTCACTTTTGAACTCCTCCTCTCCCTCACCCTTCAATGTTTGATTAGTTGGCAGGTTGTTTTGATACGAGTTTTGCAGTACCTCTCGTGTCTGCTGCTTCTTTTTCATTTCCGCTGCCATCAAACCAGTTCGGGTTGATAGTGCCTCCGGTATGGACTATTGTAGGAGTCCTTTCATTGGTTTCTCTTAGTTCTTTTCCCTCATCAACCAGTAACACAACATTGTGAGAGAAATCTTTCTTTATGTTCTGTCCTTATTACTTCCTTGTTTGAAAGGTTTCCATGTCTCCATGGTCTGACTGCCAAAAAACAAGTGTATATTATCTGCCTACCAAAAGCAAGTGTATATTCTCTGGCATGTCATTTAAAACCCTCCATAAACTGACTTTGACTTATCTTTCCAGCCACCTTCTCTCACCAATTTCCATGCTTCATCTAGGCCAGTCCAGGCTATGTGCAAGTTCCTAAACATATCCCATTTTTTCTGCCTCTGTGCAGTGCCTTCTAAAGTTATTATTAGAAATTCATTTTACAATGTTAAAAAGCTTTAAGAGAATAAACACGTATAATTTTACATTCTAAGACAATTGTTTTTATCTGTGCATATTATTGTCTAGTCCTTTCCCACAAGAATAAAGGTTTTACATAAATGCAATCGTAAGCCCTTATTAAATATTCTATTTTTACTTAAGATTATATTTTTAAGATTTTCTACTTCCTCATATTTATCACCGTATAAGTCTGCATTACATTTGAAGTACCAAATTTATTCAAAATTTTCCTAAGAGTAGACATTTCAAATGCTTGTAAGGTCCTCCTAGATAGACAATATATATAAATAAGAAGTAGCTTCAATTTCAAATCATTTTGCTCCAGTTAGATTAATCCTAGGAATGAATTTACTTGGTTAAAAGTCTTATTATTGGCCAGGCGTGGTGGCTTACACTTGTAATCCCTGCACTTTGGGAGGCTGAGGCTGGCAGATCACCTAAGGTCAGGAGTTTGAGACCAGCCTGACCAACATAGAGAAACCTTGTCTCTACTAAAAATACAAAATTAGCCAGGCGTGGTGGTGCGTGCCTGTAATCCCAGCTACTCAGGAGGCTAAGGCAGGAGAATTGCTTGAACCCAGGAGGTGAAGGTTGTGGTGAGCTGAGATGGCGCCATTGCACTCTAGCCTGGGCAACAAGAGCGAAATTCTACCTCAAAAAAAAAAAAAAAAAAAAAAAAAAAATCTTATTATTGTCTTACTCCATTTCTCAAATATTCTTTCCATCAGGAATGAACTCCTTAATCTTTGTCTCCAGTTCTCACTCACTTTTGAAGGCCCAAATAACTGTGACTTCTTCCTTGACGATATTCTTGCCTCCTCCTCCCAGACAGAAGTGAACCTCCTCTCATCTGAGCTCTCATAGCCCACTGTAGTCTGAAAAATGTTTAGTTCATTCTAACCACTCTAAAATAATGCTATGTGTGTACATGTCTTGTGTCTACTAGTAGACTCCGGAGTACTCAAGAGTCCATCTTTTATTCCCATTCATAACTCTACCTAGCAATTTTCCATTATTTCAAGCTGGCTTATATATTTTGGTTGCATTTTATCCAGATATCATATGTGTTCCAGGTAGCAGTCAGAAAGAGAGGTGGGAGAAGCTTGTCACACCAGCTCAGTATGACATCTTGATTGAAAGCCTTAGGATTCTTATTCCTTCTTCTACCCTCTAAAAAAGGACAATTTAAGTAAAAAACTGTTTAAAATTTTTGTTTCTAAAAAAGAGAAGAAAAATATATTCACTTGTGTTGCACCATCTCTAATCTACCATGCAGGACGAAGTTTCATTCAAGAGGCAGTAAGCGATTTTCCTGCAGAAGATTTGGAAACCTGTTTCCATAAGCCAGATGTGGGCAAGACTGGGAGGAGAGTTTGGGTCTTAGCTCCCCTTCTGTCCCAATGGGTCATTTTTAAGGATGTAACTATTCCAAGCATCTTTTCCAAAATGGAAGGTTAATTTTTGCCTCATAAGTTGCAGTTAGTTTTGGTTTCCTAATTCATGGTCTCGTGTTAAAAGATGGGGTACCCTCTTGGTTGAGATCAGAGTTTCCCCACTCTCCTTACAGACTGGAAATTAAGCCCTCTATGCTCCAATAATATGTTGCTAATTCTGGCCTTAGACAACCGCTACATTTGGCCTTTTCACATTCTGAGAACCACACACACACACACACACACACACACACACACACACACACACGGTGCATTATACAACTGCAGTTGGCAATTTCAGCCCAATAAGAGGTACATCTGAAACCAATTTCAGAACCAAGAAGAAATTTTATTCATAGGTTTATTTCTATTACATCTGCTCAGCTGCAGTGTTACAACAATTTTGCCTTCAACTCAGCTTTCTTTAGCTCCAGAGAATATTTTAGCTCCTCCATTGTCATGCCACTTTCCTTTAATTGTTGCATAAAGTTCTCTATGGCTTCGCAGAGGTCCTTACGCTCCTGAAAGGCAAGCTGAAGAAAGAAAATATTTTACAAGTTACAACATAAGGACTGAGACCCGGCTATATACTCTGAAGCCAGTGAGCAGCAGTTAGCTCTCTGAATGGGGGCTCAGAACCAGGCTAGCTTAAGTAAAGATTTGGGTTTTCAACATGATGAATCATTTATATCTTCTGGCTTAAATATGCTTATTAATACTATCCCAGTAATAAAGATGAACTAAAAGAAGAATCTCAATGTAAATGGATCTGTTCAGTGTTGTTTGTTTAGTGTTGGAGCCTAGAAGGATTTTAGAGACTTTTCCAATTCTCATGCATTGTGCTTATGTGCCTTGCCCTATAACAGGGATGCCCAACCCCAGGGCCACAGACCAGTACCAGTCCATGATCTATTAGGAACTGGGTCACACAGCAGAAAGTGAGCAGTGGGCAGGCAAGCAAAACTTCAGCTGTATTTATAGCCACTCTCCCTCGCTCACATTGCTGCCTGAACTCCACCTCCTGTCAGGTCAGCGGTGGCATTAGATCCTCCTAAGAGCGTGAACCCTATTGTGAACTGCTCATGCGAGGGATCTAGGTTGACCCCTCTATGAGAATCTAATGCCTGATGATCTGTCACT